CAAGGTAGGCCTGAACACCTGGCCCAATGAAATAATGGAGATAAGGAGCAGTGCATTGCTCTAATGGCGCATTTCCACTGCAGGGCCTCGCACGGGTTAGTACGGTATAGTTAGGCTTTGGTAGGCCAGGCTCACTTTATGCTGCGTTTACAGTTTAGTAGCTGGGGCAGTATCTATAGTAACGCAGTGTAGGCGGAGCCGTGGCGTCATCTTCAATGCGAAACACAAAACCAACACAGCCATTAGCTGTTAGCACTCAGAGCTCACAGCTCCTCATATCTGTTCAGAAACTAGACAAAAGTTAAACAAGTACAAACCACAGACTGCCTGTGTCATGGTGAATACAGTCGCTGGTTTATTTATGTCTGTAGGCCGTTGTTGTGAGTGTGGACGGTCGGAGCATATACTGCGTTAGCTTAGCCGATCTCCATTTAGAAAACACGCATTTTAAAAGGTGTTTCTCCTGCCGTCTGTCTGCAGACTTGTCAAAGCATTAATTCATGGTTTTTACTAACCGGTATCAGTATGTTGTTACTTCGGCATCATTTTGAAACGTGTATTACAATTAAATCACGGTCAAATATGTTCATCTTGTTGTAGTTGTAGTTGTAGCCACTCACGTCACTAGTTTAGCATATTCAGCCCGGTTGTTGGCCCGGAAAGAACCACTATTTTGGAGGGCCAGAAAAACTGTGAAAAGGTAGCCCTGAGCCGGAACTAGCCCTAGTGGATACGCAACAAAAAACGGGCCAGGTTGGGTACGGCACGCTTAAACCGTGCTACGCGCTGCAGTGGAAATGCGTCATAAGTGATAAAAGTCCCAACCACTATACTACTGGGTATTTATTTTAATGACTTTTTCATCAAGGTTTTAGAAAGCAAAAAGAATCCGCAGCATTTAACACTCATGAGGATTTACAGCAGGCATGGGCAAACTAAGGCCCGCGGGCCATATACGGCCCGTTGGGCTTTTTAATCCGGCCCGCCGGATATTGATACAAAATTGTCCAAATTATAGTAAAGACCGCATTCATTTTGCCTTTTTCCTGCAATACCCGGCATTTCAGTTGATCCCACTAGATGGCGCACTCTAGACACAATTGACCTTTGCTGGAGTCTGGCCCCACTCTGCAACCCGGCAAGATCCAAGAACCAAATACGTCATGCTTACATTGGAGGGGTTCGAGATTAACCTGAGCAATAACAGTTCATGGCGAGTGCTGAGCAAAGTGACTAGAACGCGACCACACACTTATAAAAAACACTTATATAAAGTCAGGCAACATTAACCAGGCTTAGTGTGATTCTGTTTATTTTACCTTACTTTAATGACCATCCGTTCACTGTTATTGACCATTGTGAAGAGGCAGACGTTTTCCTGTTGTTTTGTATTATTGCAGCTATCGGGTGGAATCAATACATGGGCTACATGTGGCCATCACAAGTAAAATCATGACGAAAACTACGCCGGTAAAATATGCGTGTAGAAAACGGCTTATGCCACAATATGATAGCAACAAGTAGTCAATATAGTCTGATTAGCTTCGGTTGCTATGCTAACATCACCTGTAGAATGCCAGAGAAACTTTCATAACAGCGTTGTGATGCCAAACAGCGTTGTGATACCAAACAGCGTCAATTCAGACTGAAACACATTCACTTATGGGGATGGGGGATATGTATCAGCTGCTTGTGTGACAGTCGGACAGCGAAGACTTTCCAGCGGCCGCTGCCGTGAGTTAACAGTAGACTAAACTCCGGTGGAAGAGCAGCACTGCAGCGGGCGATAATGCCGCTGAACCACATTAATAAACACCACGGCACTCTGGAGAAAGGTTTAAGGTTGGAGAAGTAGTTATTTAATTTAATCTGGCTTCGTATGATTAAAAAGTACCCGACGCAGTCCTCTATTGGTGTTGTTGTGAGCGGTGTTGCGGAGAAAATCAGCGACGTAAAACAACGTGTGGGTCATAAGAAAGCACGTAAACGGTTACGTCATGACGCAAACGGTGACGCAATAATTCACCTTTGAACCTGCATCTGTAACAATGAGTGGACCAAAGAAAAGAAAAGTTGACAATGTTAATGAGGAGTGGACAGCTAAATATTTTTTCACCGAAGTGCGATATAAGGCTGTATGTCTTATTTGCCAAGAAACCGTTGCAGTTTTAAAAGAATACAATATCAGCCGCCACTTTTCCACCATCTGCTACTGGCCCGGCCCGTCTGTCAAATTTTAAAACTCATAGTGGCCCCCGAGCCAAAAGGTTTGCCCACCCCTGATTTACAGGGTTGGTCAGTAATTTTTATTTAACAAAACAGTAATAGAAGTCAGACATATTAAATAGTGGAATACAATAATAGAAGAAATATCAGTAAATTAAATAATTGAATGTCAATAAAGATTTTTTTTAATACTTGATAATTATTTTTATCCAAATAAACATTTAGTGTGAGAATTTGCGTTTTTTATCAGTACATTGAATATCTTGTCAACTAGATTGTCAGTGGGACGAGACATTTGAAGCCATAACAATTGCCTTGCATTTTATTAATAGAATAAAATTAAGATCTATATTAAATAATCATTAGTTGGAGCCCCGTTATACATTTCACTGTGTATTTTCTGTTAGCTTGCTTGATATCAAAACTCCTTACAGAGTTGTCATGCAGTTAAAGCATGTGTAGTAGTGCGTGTTCTTCACACGGCTGTAATAAATCCTGACCTGATATGTGATCCATTCCCTTCCAGCCGGTGGTCCGAGCCCCGAGGCACTTCAACCGCCTCCACATCCCCAAGGAGCTGCAGAAGGCGCTGCCCTTCAAGAGCAAACTCAAACAGCAGCAACCCAAAGGAAAGACCCCCAGAGACCTCCAGAGGCCCACCGTGATCAGGGAGCCCCACGAGAAGAAGGTGAGCTGATGCATCCAGGGTTATGAGAGAGCATTCATGACCTCTGACAAATCACTGATTTATACTCAATTGAGTATAAATGTCGTACAAAGCGGAGAACATTTTAAAATGCTCAACCATTGAAGGGTAGGAATGAAAAATGATCCCCATATACTACCATACACAATATGGTATATAACCATATAAACAATGCTTGATTCTTTTAGGATAATCTATTGTTTCATCTACGCATCACTCTTTGTAAACATTATTTTAAAATTGAAAATAAAACAATTCCCCAATCATATATATCTCTGTCTCAAACTAAACTTTGAGCAGATGATACCAACATACAATCTAAGTTCAAATAAACAGCTGCTATATAGTAAATACAAATATAATATACCTAACAATATACCTTGACTGCATTTATAGTAACAATACAGATGTGATGATAAAGGCTTTGAGGAAATCTTGGTTTATTCATTTTAAAAGTGATTGCATTTTGTATTATAAACCTGTATAAAACCGAAATACTTGTGATGGAAATCATAACCAAAACTGTGCAAACGAGACACGATTCGTTGTGTATTGCTTTAACATGATGACCCTGGACCAGCAGAAAACGTGCTATATCTCTAAACCTGGTTATCCTGTCCCGATGTTTAGGTGGCTGCCCTGCTCAACGCCCTGAGCCAGGTCCACCACCACAAGAGGAAGAAGGCCCACACGGCGCAGCACGCCAAACACAAGGAGTTCCTACAGGAGAAGGGGAAGCAAGAGGAGGCCAAGCAGAAGAGACAGAAGGAGGCACGGAAGAAACTGTACAAAACCATGGGCCAGACGGACCAGAAAAAGCAGAGGTCCAGCCTGAAGGGGGGGCCCAAGGACGACTAACCTCTGAATGTGGACTCATGAGGAAACCCTCTGCAGGAAACCCTCTGCACACTGACTGAGAGGCATGGTCCGCTCATTGGACTGATGACATGCGTTACACACCTTTAGCATTGTCTATTTTATTGTATTTTTCTAGATGTATTGATATTGAAAGTACGCTGTAAAGGAACAGTTATCTGACTTTTGGAACTTGTTTGAATTAAACATGTTAAGGGAAACTGTTTTGTCAACAGAATGATATACCTGTTAATTCACGTAAGAGCAGTTATCCTCCTGATGGTTGGTGATTTTATGGGTGAACTCGCCATATCGTGGAGATATTATGCTATTTGACTAATCAGAGTATTCACAATATATGATGCTCTTGGTGATACAGTAATACAATTTGTTTTGTTATTAGAAAGTAAAAAACACATGCTATCTGAAGATATACTTTGAAAGTAACCTATTACACAGGTAAAAGCTTCAGAAGATGTAGGCCTGTTTACACAGCTACTCTTAGCAAACCGCTTTCTTCTCAGTACAGGTGTCAACACTTTCCTAATTGTATGCATACTGTACTAATATCTTTTAATTTATGTTTATTGATATTATTTTTTATCTTTAATGATAGCATACATGATTCTGATGGACTAGAAATGGGGAGACAGAGGGGACAACATGCACTCAGCCGACTGAATTTATGACTGAATGAATGTCAATTTCTCTGAGTTGAAAGATGTTTGCGTTGGAAGTTATAGACATGGTAGCTTTAATAAGCAGACCTTTATGTTTGCTTATTTTTAATAAGAAGGACTGGAGATGGATATTAAAAAAAAATATATATAACATTTTGTTAATTAAAAAACCTATTTGGTCTACATATTAAAACACACATCAAATATTAAGAAAAGTGTACTTGTCACACTTATTGGTTTAAAAGAAAGTCAAATCAATAATTTTGATTTCATCATTTTTAAATTATGATTTTGATCAAGGTTCAAGTTTTTATATAAAAAGTTAGGCTTTTTTTTTATCTATCTATTGCATAGCTAAAAACCTTGATTTTTTTAGTTATGACCACGCGTTTGAATGAAATTATTAAGCTAAACGATCAAATGACATGAAATGTGATCTATAGTTAGCGTAAGTTAGTGTGGTCACGTTTTTATTGTGAAGGCCATTTGCCGGAAGTGTAAACGTTGCTACCTCAAACGACCTCGATCCAAGCAGCTGAGTTTCCGGGAAAATAAGAGCCGATGGCTTGGGTCTCTGAAAGCTTCAAACATTAGGCTCTCTCTTTTCAGACGGACTATCAGGCGTTTTAACAGTCTGCCTCTTCACAACATGGCCCCGACTAATGTCATTAAGTACTCTTCAGAAGCGGGTAAATATACCTCTGTTAGCTTCCCGACGTTAACTGTTAGCCTTTAGCATGCAGCGCTAACTGTCTGCTGCCCACTTATAACACCACGTGTGTGTAAGTGAAGTTTAACGAGCTAAGTTACTATATGACACGCAGCCGGATGTTAGTTTCTGTAGAGTCAGCTATTTCAGAAGCAGTTATGAGTCATTTCTAATCACTAAAACACAACAGAACAAGTTATTGCATAAGCTGCTTGCATTTTATTTTGAACACTAATATGGCAATTTATCTCAAACTGGCAACCAGCTGGAGGGGGGTGTTTTTTTTTGGGGGGGGGGGGTAGTGTTTTGGCTCAGGAGCAACATCAAATTCATAGTGTCTCCTCTGTTCATATCTTCATTAATAATGGGAATAATTTTGTAGCTGCCACCAACATTGTTTTTGGTTTACATGCACTATGCCCATCATTTTGGTTTTATTTTTAATGTGATTAATTCTGTCTCTGCAGCCATTACACAGTGGCAAGACAGCTGTGTGTATTTCAAGTGCAACCAATAGTTTAAGAAGTGTATTTTAAAGTTATAGCCCAACTAACCAATCAGATGGGCCAATCAATCAGGCATTCTTAGCTTGATTAGATTACATTCCACTGTATTGTCATTGCCTATAGTACAACGACCAGGGGCAGATCTAGAAAAATATTCATGGGGTGGCAGGAGAATTTCAGGGGTGGCATCCCCTGGCAGAAGTATATGCTGATTTAATCGCAGTCATATCAATTAATGTTAACTTGGAAAGCCACAATATTTATATTTTAACTCAACATTTGGTGACATTATTGTGGCACATCAGTAAAGCCTTACATATAAATATATAAGGTGGCAGACATAATTGAATTAATTTTAACTGAACAATAACTGAATGAGTTTGTCTCACTCTTAGACCAGCAGGGGTACCAAATCTATGCAGACTGCTGCAATAAGTACATTAATTAACTGTCTCGTCGATGTTTGTCTAATTTAATATGATACTATTAACAATCATATTATTCCTATCAGCTGTCAATCACTGTTATGATTCACATATTCAGTGCTATTATTAAATAAACTATATTTTTTGGAGGAGTTAATGATGAATGTTCCTAAAGATGCTTGCTCACCCTCCTTCAAATTTGAAAGACAAGTAATTACTATCATATATCAAAAGATTCAAAGGAACAGTTCAGCGCCCCACAACTTCATTGCAAACAGTTACAACCTTGACTTTACATCAGAAAGAACAAACATTAAAGAAGTGACTAACTGCATCAGTTAGGGTTAAAAAACGTGTATTCAGCTAAAACATATACATCGCTGCAGTTATTATCCAGTGGAAAGTCCTTACCTACTGGCCTAGTTAAATCAAAGTGGTTACTTTTTTTTGGCTGGGCAGTGTAGTTTTACACACCGTCTTATTTGACTTTCTCAGGACTTGCAACTGTTTTTTGGGGGCAGACCAATTATTTTATTATGCCTCCTGTAGCACCTTGGGATTGCTGCTAGCAATGAAAGGTGCATTATAAATTGAATTTATTATTATTATTATTATTATTAAAGAAGAAAAATGTTATACACACGTAAGGTCATCATCTTAACAGTTTTTTATGCTCATCGAGTCATCCGTGAGCAGAGCATCAAGTTGACATGCCTATAACAGCTGAATGTAGCGATTACCATTTTGTTCAGCAAAACGCCTCACAAACGTATTAAGATTTAAAGCTTTAGTGCGTTTTGATTCAATGCTGAGTACAGCCAAACTTGACAGTCTCTTCTCTGTCATTGTAGACCACAAATACCTCATTCCTTCCGTCTACTTGGATCCGAAATGCTTCTCGTTTTGCGCCGTCCCGTTCAAATGAAATCGCCGCCAATCATATTTCCACGCTCGCGCCAGGGCCGGGGGAGGGGTTACAAGGTTATGGCTAGAAAGGATCCGTCTTGTGTAAAACTCTTGCGAGAGTTTGCAAGTCACGTGGCTGAATGTTTACGTTTGGCAGGCAGCCTTTCAGTTACGATCGTTAACATCAGTGGGCCACAGCAAATGATGGTGAGAAGCTAAACTATCTATTAATTATGTAAATTACAGGGAGTGTGATTGTTGAAATAGGGTGTTAGCGGTCTTGCTGTTCAAAGAAGAATGACAACAGTGTAGATCACCAACACTATGGTTTATTTTTTATTCACAGGCAAGTCAACGTTGTCGCAGTAAAAGTCCCAAGATAGCTCCTGGTGCAATAAAATGTTCCCTTTCAGTGTTTTACTATTATGTCTGATGTTTCTCTATTAATATTGCTGCTGCATTAATGTGTATGTTGCATGTTACTAGGGATGGGTATCGTTAAGGTTTTAACGGTACTACTACTTTTATCGATACCGCTTATCGGTCCGGTCTTTTAACGGTACTCTTATCGGTTCTTTTGGAGAGAAAAATGAGGTAAACTAACTATATGTTGTATGTCAGGGACTACGGATGGAAATTAGCTCAAAGCTAAAATCCGGCATATTTACACTTGAAGCATTATTTGTCTAAAGTGTTCATTAATGTGCATTGTCCCTATTCAAATAAACAATTAAATGAAAATTAACAAATTGTTAACAAAACTAACATTGCTTTTTATTTAAATGAAATACATAATATTTCACATCAACAGAAACAACAACGTTTTAACAAATCATATTAAATAATCTGATGACAGAACTGTGAACAGAATGGCTGAAACTTTAACAAACTAAATAACTCAGTTCCCTCTAATCATTAACCCATGTTTGAACCATTGAGTTAGCTCCGTGTGTTGCTGCTAGCATACATAATACTGTATACCTGACGTGGAAACGTTACTCGTGGATGGGGCTACAGAGCTACTAGAGAGACAGTCGAACCCGGTGCATTTCTCCGTCTGAACGTGGTGCACTTTTGCAAGATGTTTAGACAAATTGCTCGTGTTACCGCCCCTGACATTCTAAACTCTTATTGCACTTTAGGCAACAAGCGAGACGGGTAAAGTTTAACCACACCTCGGAGCGCGTTCTCTCCGCCATCTCCTCCGTGTGTGTGTGTTGCTGCATGTAGCAGCTGCGTGTGTGTAAACTGCCCCGCCCCCTCGCACACAGGCGGGGGAGAGAGATCTCTCGTCTGGATTGGAGAGATCGAAAATACAAAAAATGACGCATTTTGCAGTCTTTTTGCGTATTAGAAACGGAGTTGGCGACACTAAAACTGCAATATAATGTTTGTGTAGCAATAATACACATGACATATTTTTTAGATGTCTCCAGTACCGATAAAAAGACCGATAACGTCGGAGCTTAACGGTACCACGGTCTTTAATAATTCAGCCCCGGGGCCCGTTTAATACCGGGGCTCGGTACCCATCCCTACATGTTACTGCTGTAGATGTGTTTCCAAGCCGCTCCGATTACAACGAGAGTTACAACGAGAACGTGACGTCATATTTACACAAGACGTATCCTTTCTAGCCATAACCGGGTTACAAGGCTCGCGTCTTGTGCTGCATTCACTTGCACTCGGACATTAGAGATTTTCTCTCATAAATGTCCGATGAGCCACAACTTTTCTTTCAAAACAAAGCTGCCAACTGGGGTGGCAACTAGGGTGGCAAGGCATTTTTCTGAGGTGGCAGCTGCCACTCCGTGCCACCCCGTAGAACCGCCACTGACAACGACACACAGGCCCAATCCCAAACCACGCCCTACACCCTACACCTACACACTCCCCCCTCCGTGACGGAGTGAACTCCGTGGAGTGACACTCGCAGCTCGAGGCTCCCTCCTGTCAGATGGAGGGAGTAAATACAGCTGCAAGCTTTGGGACAAACTCCCCTCTCTCCGTCAGAAACAGGAAATGCCGTAACTGTATACCAACGGTTTCAAATCAGCATCTCTTAGACAAAACATTAAAATTAAATTTGGTTGTTGCCTCTTTTGAATGACGAATACACAGTACCGCCGCCTGCTGGTAAGGAGAGTTATTGCCACTCACGCATGCGCAGTTCGTACGTGCAACTTGGCCGTCGGCTGAAGTCTTTGCGGTGTGTTCCAGTGCGACACATGGCCAAGACGCAGGAGACGTGAGGCAACTTGAGGCGACGTGAGGCGACGTTCCGTTGGGACGTGTTCTTTGGTGTCAGTTGGGTGTGTAAGGACCTTTAAGGCCCGGACACACATGTTGAATCGGGAGGCTGTCGGCAAAAGAAATCACTCTGATTGGCTGTTCAGCTTAGCGAATCAGTGCATGAGAAGCGAAACGGAAGTGAAGAAGGCACACCCAGGCGGCTATTATTTTTCATTTTCCAGTATCGCACTAAACATGTTTTCGATTATAAGTCGCTATGTGAAACAGTCTGTGAAACAGTCTGTGATGGACGAGAGTGAAAATGGAACACACGCTATTTGTTGTTTGTATATATCACGCTGTCTGTCTTCCGGTTGCCTCTTTTGAATTAAGAATAGACACTACCGCCGCTTGCTGGTAAGGAGAGTTATTGCCACTCACACATGCGCAGTGCGTACGTGCTAATTGGCCGTCGGCTGAAGTCTTTGCGGTGTGTTAGGGTACCAGCAGGCGGCGGTAGTGTGTATCCGTCATTCAAAAGAGGCAACAACCGGAAGACAGACTGCGTGATACACCGAGAGAAGAAGAACAGACTGCGTTATACAAACAAACAACAAATAGCGTGTGCGTTCCATTTTCACTGTACAGCGAGAAGCTCATGGGGCTTTCCCGAACCTGTGTCGAGAGCTGGAGTTAAATGAAATCTCAGATTTGCCTTCTTTTTTTTCTTTTTTTTTTATACTTTATTTTTAAGTTGTTAAGACAATACAAAGGAAACAACAAATAACATACAACATACAGGTCACTGGGGTAATACATCATCAATATGTTCTCAGCAATTATTCTTGTGATATGGGAAGATCTCCCTCATAATGGGTTCACAACCAATCTGTGTGAAACATACAGTAGTAGCAAAGTTATGCAAGAATTATAGAATATTGTACCAAACAGATTTGCCTTCTTAATAGTTTGTTTGGGTCACTCACTTCCGTTTCGCTTCTCATGCACTGATTCGCTAAGCTGAACAGCCAATCAGAGTGATTTATTTGGCCGACGGCCTTTAGCCTTTAGCCTCCCGATTCAACATGTTGAATCGGCGGCGGAAGGTGTCGGCACGGCCGAAAAGACACGACGGTGCGGGACACTCCAAGACACACCAATCTGAGTAGGGTGACACGACGCTCATCGACGGCCCGACATCTATCGACATCTATCGACGGCCGAAATCGGCTTGGTGTGTAAGGGACTTGAGGCGACACAACAATCGGGTCCGTCGGGACGTGTTCTTTGGTGTCAGTTTGGTGTGTCAGGGCCTTTAGAGCTTGTAGCATCTTTCAAAGGTCCCTAGAACTCATTAGACAGGAATACTGACTGTTAGTAGAGATAATCTGCTGCGTAGAGATTATTCAGCATAACATTATGTTTTTAAAAAAAAAACAGGTTCTTCTTGATCAAGAAACTTTATGATGAATTATTAAGTGATTTATACTGTAGTGAAATCAGTGCCAGTAAGAATCACCAGTGCATGTCAGAAATTAGGCAGATTTACTCCATGAGAACATGAGAAGATCTTATGTTCTTTAATAATATGTAATCACTTATCCTATTTGTTTTCTTTGAATTAAAGTCCTGTTGTCTTTGTGTAAAATCCTTGATAAATGTAGGTTCCATTAATTTTTCCAGGATGCAGTTGTCCATTGGAGTCTGAGCTGCGAGCAGTGCTGCAGCAAAGGATCATGGTCTTGGATGGGGGTATGGGCACCATGATCCAGCAGCATAAACTTGAAGAGGAAGATTTCAGGGGAGAGGAGTTTAAAGAACACCCTCTATCTCTGAGGGGCAACAACGACCTCCTCAGTCTCACACAGCCAGAAATCATTTACACGATACACAAGGTAATCATCCAGGGAAAATATACTTCAGTACTAACCCTGAGAGGTATCAGTCAGGCAGGTCATTTCAGTGTTATGGGTTGTGCTTTTCAGAGTGTTCTAATGCCAGCCAAGTACAAACTAGAAAGATCATTGGAAGAAAATAAAAACACCATTAAATTGTCAAGGACAAACATTTTTTTTGCTAGCCCAGAATCAGAAATATCTTTATTGCCAAATAGGTTTACACATACTAGGAATTTGCTTTGGGGTAAGTGGTGCAAACATGAACATAGTATAAGGAAATTAGTTGTTAAATATACATACATTAAAAACTAAAGAGAAATATCATGGAATAAAATATACAAAAAGCTAAATTCCAAATGAAATGTGAGTTAACTGTTATTAACATAGTTTATTAGCTGTTTGTTTTCTTAAGTCTATTAAATTAACAAACATAAACTCCCAAAATGTCAAGTAAGGAAATCTTTTTCAACCTGTTTCATTATTACAGACAAATACAACCTTAAAACACACTTCACACTTGACAGAAACAAATGTACCAACGCTTTTTGGTTAGTCTCCACTGTTCTAACAATGACCAACTTTATTTTGGTGGAAAGAACACCATAAATCCCAGAGTTAGATATAAAAATATGCTGATTCAGCATGCTGCTGTCTCTGTCTGCTGAGGACAAAGGCCGAGTGGGACACACACACACACACACACACACACACACACACACACACACACACACACACACACACACACACACACACACACAGTCATAGGTACTTTCCTCATCATAACTATAACCCTATAATGCTTGATCATTATACATTACATTACATTTGACTTGTTAGATGTGTTTTCATTATCTTCACAGCCAAATTGGACTGTCACAGGAAACATGTGTTCTAATTTTTACAGTCAGAATTTGTGTGTTTTATTAATCTGATCCTTTTATTAATTCAAAGCATTACTAAGAATGATTTTCACATATGTGCCCGAAGTCTGCCTTGCACCATTTTCTTTGGTTTGGGTCCTTAATTGGTCTCCAGTACATCTCATAGCAACAACAATATGTAAAGCCACAGTAGTGTCTCCTAAATAAGGAATGTTACTAAACTCTTTAATGTGAAAGACTTAAATCGTTGAAGAACCTGTGACCCAAGTTTTTCATTCATTATATAACTACACCCTAGTTGTGTATATATTATGACATAAAATCTTGAATGTTGGTGAAGTAAATTGAATCATGTTTGTGGTGCTCAACACAGTGCAGAGTGACAGAGTGAGCATGTCTTATAATCAGCAGAACTCCCTGTAAACCACTGTCTGCATGTCTCCATGAAAACAGTGTGCAGTGTGTGACTTTTGCCCTGTGTCTTTACAGGACTACCTGCTGGCTGGTGCTGACATCATCGAGACCAACACATTCAGCAGCACCTGTGTGGCGCAGGCAGACTACGGGCTGGAACTCCTGGTATGAAGTCTGAGTCTGACACTGCTACAACCACTGACTCCATTTCTACATGCAGCTGTTTCACCGAGTTCTTTGACCTCGCTCTTATCTCCACTTGAAACTGCAACATCCTGCCTGCCCTCAGCCGACTTGGCTTAAAAACAGCCCCTCTCGTCTAAACAAACCTCATACCTCAAACATTGTTTTGGCTCCAATTTAAAAAAGAATGTTAAATTGCAATTCTCTTCACACAAAATGGTGCATTAACTGTATTTATTATGGACCTATAACAGACAATATGATTGATGTTTTTCACTTCAGGAGTGCCCTTCTAGTTTGTTAAAGATTTAATTTCATTATCATAATCTCAACCTTATTTTCTGTCATTATTAGCAGGTAGAGCATCAGCCTCCACACGTTGTCTTCATATCATCTATACATCTGTATTCTATGTGTGTGTAGTTTCCATGTGATTTAGGGTGTTTATATGTAGTTCTCCAGTGACAAGCTTAGGATACTTCAGGTTCCATGTAACCATAAGAAAAAGTCATATAGTTGCAAGCTTGTTTCTTACTTTAAAATGTTGACATGTTGTGCTTTGGTTTGTTGTGCAGGCTTATCGTCTCAACAGGGCGTCCGCAGAGCTGGCGAGGAGGGCCGCTGATGATGTCACCAAACAAACAGGTCAGCTGACTGGTTTTCATTACTACAGCACATCACTATCAGCAGATAAACACAATCCCTGACTCTCTGAGATTTAATTATGTGTGTATCATTAATATTAATCTATTTGTGTAATCAGGTTGTAAGCGCTATGTGGCGGGGGCCGTGGGGCCCACCAATAAGACCCTGTCTGTGTCGCCGTCTGTGGACAGACCTGACTTCAGGAACATCAGTAAGATCACTTCCTGTTTCCTTTCTGCTGCACCTTCACCAGCTTTGATAACACTTTAATGCATCAATAATTATAAAACATATCATATAAACTTAACACAAAAAGTAAGGCAATTTGTGTTTGGTAGATGATTTCTATGTTGTAACAATGCTTTTTGGCAATACATCTTATACAGTTGGAAAGCCTGTTTTCTTACCTTTCCAATGGTACCATATTTTTGAGGAACAAGCATTTGTGGGATGAGCAGCAGAGCTGAGTCTGTAGGGTGCACCCATGAAAAATGTGACAAATCTCCTCTGCCAATGCCAAACAGCAGCCACTCTCCGGTCTCGTATGGCTGCCAGGAGCCTCAACATGTGGAGGAACATTATGTTCAGAGCACTGGAACCTCAACATGTGGAGGAACATTATGTTCAGAGCACTGGAACCTCAACATGTAGGGGAACATTATGTTCATAGCACTGGAACCTCAACATGTGGAGGAACATTATGTTCAGAGCACTGGAACCTCAACATGTGGAGGAACATTATGTTCAGAGCACTGGAACCTCAACATGTGGAGGAACATTATGTTCATAGCACTGGAACATCAACATGTGGAGGAACATTATGTTCAGAGCACTGGAACATCAACATGTGGAGGAACGTTATGTTCAGAGCACTGGAACATCAACATGTGCCTCCCGTAACCCCAGGACCCTCTTCTCTACAGTTAACAAGCTCTTCAAACCCCGTGCTGATAACCTCCCTACTTCTACTTCCGCTACTTGCAGCTCATTTCTCCAGTTTTTCGCAGACAAAATTAACGCCATTAACCACTCCTTCTCAGCTCCATCTGATTTACAAGCATCTCCCCCAACCTCCACCGCTACCACTTATCTCCCTTGACCTCCTGACTCCTCCTCTCCCAGTTCAACCTGGTTACCCCACTTGAAATACTCCATCTGATCAGTTCCTCAAATCCCACAACCTGCTCCCTTGAACCTCTACACACTCCTCTCCTGAAGTCCTGCCTCCCCGTCCTCTGTCCCTATCTTGCTAACCTTTTCAACTCCTCGCTGTCCCATGGAACCGTCCCCTCTGCCTTCAAAACTGCTGCCGTTACTCCAATCCTCAAAAAACCCGGTCTTGATCCCTCCTCCCTCACTAATTACCGCCCCATCTCCAACCTACCATTCCTCTCAAAAACTCTTGAACGCATTGTAGCCAAACAAATTCACTGCCATCTCCAAACCAACCAGCTTTACGAACCCCTTCAGTCTGGATTTCGTCCTCACCACAGTACAGAAACTGCACTCGTCAAAGTCCTCAATGACCTCCTCACCTCTGCTGACACTGGTTCCCTCAATATTCTCATCCTCCTCGACCTGAGTGCAGCCTTCGATACCGTGAGCCACAACATCCTGCTCACCCGACTCAGGGACATTGGTATTGAAGGTATTGCACTCAGATGGCTCCAGTCCTACCTCACTGATCGATTCCACTTCATCTCCCTCCCCAACCACTCCTCTGCCACAGCCTCAGTCACCCAAGGCGTTCCTCAAGGATGAGTACTTGGCCCCCTCCTCTTCATCATTTACATCCTCCCCCTCGGTCAGATACTCCGCCACTTCAACCTGGACTTCCACTGCTATGCTGATGACACTCAGATCTACCTCAGCACCAAATCCCTCCATAACCCACCCCTTACCCACATCGATTCCTGTCTGGCAGCTATTAAAACTTGGATGCAACATAACCTCCTCAAACTGAACAGCAACAAAACAGAACTCCTCCTAATCGGCTCCAAATCCACCCTCAGCAAGGTCACTAACATAACACTCACCATTGATGGCACCATTGTTTCCCCCTCCAATCAGGCACGCAACCTTGGCGTGATCTTTGACCCCACCCTCTCCCTCCAACCTCACATCCGCTAAACAGTCAAAACCTCATTTTTCCACCTCCGCAATATTGCAAAAATCCTACCCTCTCTCACCCGCCCCGCAGCCGAACGACTAATCCATGCCTTCATTTCCTCCCGCCTCGACTACTGCAACTCACTTCTTTACGGCATCAGCACTACATCCCTCAACAGACTCCAACGGGTTCGCAGCTGCACGTCTCCTTACGCTTACCAAATCATGGCATCACCCCAGTCCTCAAAGACCTCCACTGGCTTCCTGTCTCCCATCGCATCAACTACAAAATTCTGGTCCTCACCTACAAAGCACTCCACCATCTGGCCCCCCCTTATCTCACAAACCTTCTCACTCCTTATCAACCCCCACGGTCCCTCAGACCCACCGCAGCCGGACTCCTATCCATTCCCACATCCACACTCTGCAGCTTTGGGGACAGAGCCTTCTCAGTGGCAGCTCCTAGGCTCTGTAATTCCCTCCCCCAAGATCTCCGTGACTCTGAATCCCTCACAGTCTTTCAGTCCCGCCTCAAAACACATCTTTTCAACTCTGTCTACCCATAAGCCCCCCCCCCCTCTCAATCAACTTCCTCTTGACTGCCTTTTTTTTGTTTATTTTATTTTACTATATTTATTTGTCTGCCTGTCCTTGTTTGTCTACCCTCCCTCATACTGTAAAGCGTCTTTGAGTTGTGAAAAGCGCTATATAAATAAAATGTATTATTATTATTATTATTATTATGTGGAGGAAAATTATGTTCAGAGCACTGGAACCTCAACATGTGGAGGAACGTTATGTTCAGAGCACTGGAACCTCAACATGTGGAGGAACGTTATGTTCAGAGCACTGGAACCTCAACATGTGGAGGAACATTATGTTCAGAGCACTGGAACCTCAACATGTGGAGGAACGTTATGCTCAGAGCACTGGAACCTCAACATGTGGAGGAACATTATGTTTAGAGCACTGGAACCTCAACATGTGGAGGACCATTATGTTCAGAGCACTGGAACCTCAACATGTGGAGGAACATTATGTTTAGAGCACTGGAACCTCAACATGTGGAGGAACATTATGTTCAGAGCACTGGAACCTCAACATGTGGAGGAACATTATGTTCAGAGCACTGGAACCTCAACATGTGGAGGAACATTATGTTCATAGCACTGGAACCTCAACATGTGGAGGAACGTTATGTTTAGAGCACTGGAACCTCAACATGTGGAGGAACATTATGTTCAGAGCACTGGAACCTCAACATGTGGAGGAACGTTATGTTCAGAGCACTGGAACCTCAACATGTGGAGGAACGTTATGTTCAGAGCACTGGAACCTCAACATGTGGAGGAACATTATGTTCAGAGCACTGGAACCTCAACATGTGGAGGAACGTTATGCTCAGAGCACTGGAACCTCAACATGTGGAGGAACATTATGTTTAGAGCACTGGAACCTCAACATGTGGAGGAACATTATGTTCAGAGCACTGGAACCTCAACATGTGGAGGAACATTATGTTTAGAGCACTGGAACCTCAACATGTGGAGGAACATTATGTTCAGAGCACTGGAACCTCAACATGTGGAGGAACATTATGTTCAGAGCACTGGAACCTCAACATGTGGAGGAACATTATGTTCATAGCACTGGAACCTCAACATGTGGAGGAACATTATGTTCATAGCACTGGAACCTCAACATGTGGAGGAACGTTATGTTTAGAGCACTGGAACCTCAACATGTGGAGGAACATTATGTTCAGAGCACTGGAACCTCAACATGTGGAGGAACGTTATGTTCAGAGCACTGGAACCTCAACATGTGGAGGAACATTATGTTCAGAGCACTGGAACCTCAACATGTGGAGGAACATTATGTTCAGAGCACTGGAACCTCAACATGTGGAGGAACGTTATGTTCGGCGATGAGTCCAGATTCTGCCTACGGCACATGGATCATAGGGTCACGGTGTGGAGAAGATGTGGAGAACACTTTGCTGATTGCTGCACCGATAGAGTAGGAGAGGAGAGGATGGGATGGCCTGCAGTCCTGACCTCAACCCCATTGAACACTTGTGGGATCAACTTGGCCCTGCTGTCCGTGCCAGAGGGACCAACACAACCACGTTGGCTGACCTGGGACAAATGCTGGTTGAAGAATGGGATGCCATCCCACAGCAGAGTGTGAGCAGGCTGGTGACCAGCATGACTTCCATCATCCAATCCACCAAACAACACCAAACTAGAGTCAGCAGCAAAAAAAGCTGTTTGGCATTGGCAGAGGAGATTTTTCATGGGCGCACCCCTCATAGGCGCACCCCACATACTCAGCTCTGCTGCTCATCCCACAAATTACATTACATTACATTTCATTTAGCTGACGCTTTTATCCAAAGCGACTTACAATAAGTGCTTGTTCCTCACAAATGTGGTATCATTGGAAAGGTAAGAAAACAGGCTTTCCAACGGTATACGATTTATTGCCAAAAAGCATTGTTATAACATAGAAATCATCTACCACTTTTTGTGTTAAGTTTATATTATTCTGAAATGGACCAATCTGCACAATGACTACTTTTACTTTTGGTACTTTAAGTATATTTTGATGCTAATACTTTTCAACTTTTACTTGAGTAACATTTTGAAAGCAGGACCTTTACTTGTAACAGAGGGTGTTTCTCAATGTCGAGTACGCTTGCTTGGTAGTACATGTCTTCCGAGCGTCTTGCTTCAGAAGCGAGGCAAGAATACTTCCTGGCATTCGGAAAAACGAAGAGTGGAACAGGCGAGCAAGTGTGCAGGTGTGCGTCATATGAGAGGCCCCCCCCCGATTTTAAGACCGCGAAGTCTACACATGTGCAGCCTCAACATTTCTCCAAACGAAGTACGCCGGGCTCGGTAGAATTCCAAGTATGCTGGACATTGGAACAGTACTTCGGCGGCTCTCGATGACGTAGTATGCTTGAAATAGTGGTTCTGGAGCAGCTTTACTCGACATTGAGAAACACCCAGAGTATTCCTGCACTCGAGTACTTCTACTTTTACTTAAAGTGGACCTATCATGCTATATTTAAATGATATATTGTAGGGCCATACCTATATAAGGTATATTTATACGTTTCTGTTTTCAAAATACCAAACAGATCATGCATTTTAGCCATGCCTCATTTCGCTCTATTTGCTGTTCTCCAGCCCTGTTTTTGCAGCTGACCACGCCCCCCTGCAGGAGAGGGGAGCCGCTCTGATCAAGTCAGAAGAGGGGGAGAAAAATAGATCTCCGTCCTCCGTGTTTTATTATAGCCTATTATTATAGAGTCGTTATTCATTTGTTTTAAAGCTCAATAAATAACAAAGAAGACCTTTGACCGGCACTTTTCTAATTTTGTCTGGAAGATTTAAACGGACATCTTGACCGGCGAAAGAAAACCTAACTGAAACTCTGCCGCACGGTCCCCTCGTTCCTTGGAAGAGGCGGAGAGGTGGGTGTTTGTCATCTGCTGGTGGACTAACCGGAGAGAATTACAGTGCTTGCCTCGACGGGGAGGGATTGCATTGAATTAAAGCAGCAGGAGCAAACGCTTGCCTCGGGGAGGGAGAAAAAAAGCCACAGCGGAGAATAAACAGAAGGGTAACCATGGTAACCATGCTCGGGAAGTCTTCTTCGCTGCTTTTGTGGCAGACTACAGCGCCACTTACAGGCCTGGCATATGTACTACAGCGTCTCCAGCGCTTTCGAGCGGCAATGGCTGGCCGTGGCCCAACCCCACATTCCCCTGATAGGTGGAGAGTTGGCCCAATAGCCGTAGCGCCACCGTCCTGACGTCAGGACAGTGTTCAAATCTGGATCAGTTTTTATCAGATCTGTTGCAGCCCCTTTTTTAGAGATTTGGGTATGGAGGAAAATAGAGAGGGTTGTGTTTTCTGACACTTGGTGAGTTCCCTGGAACACCGGGGACACATATTCATGTATAAAAGACGTACAAAAGTGCATTTTGCATGATAGGTCCCCTTTAATCTGTTAAACCCGAGAGACCCCGTTACCGGGGCACTCCACATCTTGCAGGAAACAGTGTCTGAGGGCATGTTCATTTAATAAACTTTGAATGTTTATATCCATGTAACGGGAAGAAACTCATCTAACTGATCTTTTTTTCTTTTCTTTTTTTTAATAAAACCCACAATGCTAACGCTGAGCCTCTGAATTAGCAACGAGCGAAAAATGCTAACAGATTACTGCACCGAAATTCACTCGCAAAACCTTATTATTTATCTTTTCTGCACATCCATGACATCGTTTCACATCGTGAGGTGACACAGAATCGATGGGTGCATACATTATCACTCCATGATACGAACTCGCGACTTTATAAACAAAAACAGACATCAAAACATGTGGCGCTAGGTAGCTAAAAACACTAACATGGTTTACCTGTGTCGTAGTCTGGTCAAAAGTGGTCTTCAATGGCATTAAAACGATAAAAACGCTGCTGAAGTTAATCCATAGGTTAATCCAATGTGTCTGTGTCCCTTTGAAATGATTTCTGATAATCCATGAGCAATAAACCTGCCTTTCCGTTTCCAGATGTCAGAGCTAGAGTATAGGTTCGCTCTGATGCAAAACTGCATGCGCGAAGCCCCCATCTTTTTTTTGTACCATGTGTGTGAGAGGGGAGATTCCCCTTCGATTCTATTGGCTCTAACGGTCAGAAAAAGCTTTTATACCCCATTCACACCAACAGTGTTTCAGGGCCGGTTCGGAGCTGGAGCTTGAAAAGCACCGGTTTTTCCTGTTCACACCGCAGCGGAGCAGCCTCTAAGCTCCGGAATCCGGTTCGTTTCGAGCACCAAAAAGTTGTCCGTCTAGAAGCAAGAACCGCATACGTCACGCTTACGTCGGAGGGGGGCGAGATTAACCTGAGCTAACAGTTAAGGCGAGTACGGCAAATAAAAGTTGTAACCAGCAGTAGCGCTGAGCAAAGTGACTAGAACGCAACCACACACTTGTAAAAAAAAAACACGCTTTATAAAGTCAGGCAACACTAACCAGGCTTCGTGTGATTCTGTTTATTTGTACCTTACTTTGACCATCCGTTCGCTGTTATTGATCATTGTGGAGAGCAGGCAGACGTTTTGTTTGTTATTATAGCAGCTATCGGATGGAATCAATACATGGGCTGCACAGGTTGTCATGTCCGACTATCACAAGTAGAATCATAATGAAAAATACGCCGGTAAAATGTGCCTGTAGAAAACGGCTTAGCAAGTAGTCAGTTTAGCTTCGGTTGCTATGCTAACATCACCCATGTTATACCAGAGAAACTTTCATAACAGCGTTGTGATGCCAAACTGATGGACTGCTTAGCAGAGATAAAATCCTGGCTGAGCAAAAACTTTCTCAACCTCAACGAGAGCAAGACTGAGGTCATCTTTTTTGGACCGCAACCTCCAGCCTCTCCAATTGATATTCTGGGCTCTATCAAAAAAAACATCCTCCCCTCGGTCATGAACCTTGGAGTGACCTTCACTAGCACTTTTAAATTCGACAAGCAGGTCAGCACCGTAGTAAAATCCTGCTTTTTTAAAATAAGACTATTGGCCAAAACCAAGTCGTATTTATCTTTTAATGACTTAGAAAGGGTTATCAACGCCTTTGTTACCTCAAGACTGGACTATTGTAACGCTCTGTATGTGGGTATGGACCAGGCCTCAATTAAACGCTTACAGCTAGTCCAAAACGCTGCTGCACGTTTGCTGACTGGCCACAAAAAGCGTGACCACATCACCCCTATTCTGGCCTCACTACACTGGCTTCCAGTTCGGTTCAGAATTGATTTTAAAATCCTTTTATTTGTTTTTAAAGCACTAAATGGGCTGGCTCCGGCCTATATAGCTGAACTGCTCCAGCGCTACACCCCAGCCAGAGCTTTAAGGTCTGCTGACCAGCTGCTGCTGGTAGTGCCCAAGACCAGGCTAAAAACCAGAGGGCACCGAGCCTTCGCAGCAGCTGGCCCCAGGCTCTGGAACACTCTGCCCCTCCATGTGAGGTCGGCCCAGACCCTTGGGGTTTTTAAATCTAAACTAAAAACACACTTCTTCTCTCTGGCTTTCTAGTTAGAGCGGAGCACGACTCCTGACTTTTCCGTGTGTTTTATTTTTATTTTGTTTTTAAGATATATCTGTTGTAATTTATTGTCGTTTATTGTGATTTGTAGTAATGTGTTTTTATTACATGTACAGCACTTTGGCTCGACCAAAAATCGCTTTTAAATGTGCTATATAAATAAAATCTGATTTGATTTGATTTGAAACAGCGTCAATTCAGACTGACACACATTCACTTAAGGGGAACTGGGGATATGTATCAGCTGCTTGTGTGACAGTCAGACAGTGAATACTTTAGAGCCATGTGAGCTAACCCGGAGCTAACGGGAGAATACACTCCCGTGGAAGAGCAGCCAGCACTGCAGCGGTCGGTAAATGCCGCTGAAACACATTAATAAACAATGAACCACGGCACTCTGGAGAAAAGTATAAGGTTGGAGAAGTCGTTATTTAATTTAATCTGGCTTCGTATGATTAAAAGCAACACGATCATCGACCCGACGCAGTCCCCGGCCCGTTGTTGTTGTGAGGTGAGCTCCGTTGGGGAGAAAATCAGCGACGTAAACTGTGACGTCATGACGCAGCAGCGGCAGCACCAGTCGGGCTCTGAGCGGTGTGAAAAGAGCCGGCGCTAAACCGAAGAACCGGTTCTGAACCAGAAAAGCTCTAGCACGGAGCTAGAAGGGGAAAAGCCTTGGTGTGAAAGGGGTATTAGTCTACCTTACCATCATCCAAGGGTAGTTTTCACTATAAGTAAAAAAGAATTTTTGGACGGACACTATAATTTACAGTTTTTTACTATGTTCAATCTGAATTTTCTTTAAAATAAAAAACATCTATATTGTTCTGACTTTTCTACATCCAACTCACAGGTTTATCATTACTTTGAGAAAAAAGATTATTAATTTAACCCTTTTAGAAGGGAAGATATGGTCATTTGTTCTGGGAATGTCATTTTCGAGCCTGAGACCTGAAAAACAGGCTCAGGGCTAAACGGGTTGAGTACAAGATCTGAGTACTTCTCCCACCTCTGCTATTTACAATATATATTACTAACATATCTAGAACTGGAGAGAGCTCATGCATTATACAGAAACACGTACAAGCTAACAAACACCTAACACTAACTAAGTACCCTTAAATGTATCTTACCATAACTAAATACTTCTTAAACATTGACTTCATCAGTCCAAACATTGGTTTAAAATGTTAAGATATAATAAACAAAGTTATATGACAACGTTTATTTATATACAGTAGCACCTTTCAACTCAAGGCAATTCAAAGTGCTTTACAAAAATAAAACATTAAAGGGAAAATAATGTTACTAATTAAATGCATTTTAGAATAGAGTAACTTGTTTAGAAGTTTTTTGTCATTAGTGTTGTCAAGCTTTGACACACCAGGTACACATCTGCTGCCTTAAGCTCTTTTTGTGACTGTATGTTTCAGGGGCCAAATAGTTGGACATATGATAAGGCAAGGGATTATAAGTATTAAACAATTATGTTTAGAAATAGAAATATATTCGATAAGACTTCAACCAAACAAGTGACCACAGTGGTTCAGTTATTATTGTTCATGCTGGCTGACATTTGAATAGAACAAGTCATGACATGAAATGTTGATTAAGTCAAATAACACATCATGCTAACTTTTGTTGCTTGATACAACATGATGAAACATCATACACACTGATTTAAATATTCATGGTTATGTGTCGTTTGTTGCATGTATGTAACATGCCGCCTCTTTATGCACAGCAGACAGCCAATTACAATCCTTCCTGATCATAAACATATTGACTGTGTGTGTTTCCTCCCCAGCGTTTGACGAGCTGGTGGAAGCCTACTCGGAGCAGGTCAGAGGTTTGTTGGACGGGGGAGCAGACATCCTTCTGGTGGAAACCATCTTTGATACAGCCAACGCCAAGGTTTGTTAACGTATGACCATAAATAGATCAATAGGGTTGGCTGAAATGACGGTAAATAACCATGCAACGGTAGTATTGTGTCCACCACTAGAGATTCGGTTTCATATCTTATGATTTTCGCAAGACCATTCCATTCGAGACAAAAGTTAGGATGGCTGTTAGCGATGGTCGAGCTAAAGTGACAATTTAGCAAAAGACTAAAGAAATGAAACAACGCATTTCGCAACATCTTCCCCTCGCCATCATATTGGATTGTGTAGTGGTATCAAAGTCAACTTTATTGTCAATCTTCCAGTTTGTGTGTACAGACAGAGAGATCGAAATACCGTTTCCCACAATCCCGAATATAAAACAATTTATATAAAAATATGTGTGCAAATATGTATATATATATATACATAGAATCAAAGACACATTTTTACATGTGCACACATTAAGACCTAAATAAAAACACAACAATCAATATACAAAATAACAGTCACTTCAATATTTGAGAATGTACATTAGTGCAAAATTGTCCATAGAATGTGCATTATTGCCAGATTGTCCATAGAATGTGCAGATTGTCCATAGAATGTGCATTATTGCCAGATTGTCCATAGCAGCGTAAAAAGTGTCTGGTGCTGGATTTGAGTGTCTGAGTGTGTGTGGGGAGTTATAGTCCAGTGGGGGCAGGGGGGAGAGAGGGGAGGGAGGGGAGATAGTTCAGCCTCCTGACAGCCTGGTGTAAAAAACTGTTTTTCAGTCTGGTTGTGCTCGACCTCAGGCTGCGGAACCTCCTCCCTGAAGGCAGGAGGGTGAAGAGACAGGTGGAGGGATGGGTGGGGTCACCCACAATGCTGAGTGCTCTGCGGGTGAGGCGGGTGTTGTCAATTTCCAAGAGTGAGGCACCGATAATCCTCTCAGCTGTGTTTACGATGTGCTGCATGGTCTTGCGGTTCGATGGGGGGGACGAAGTAGAGGCGCTGCTGGGCTTTCTTGCTGATTGACGTGGTGTTGTTACTCCAGGAGAGGTCCTCGGTGATGTGCACCCCCAGGAATTTGGTGCAGCTCACCTGCTCCACAGCAGTACCACCAATGGTCAGACTAAATTATCAAAATATGAGTTAATCAAAACTCATATTGTGCTGACAAGAAACAGCTAAAGTAAACAGGGAAAGTAAATGTACACATGCACATGTGATTATCCCACTTAAAAGTTCACCACATTCTCAAAAACATCATTCAAAGTGGAGAGACTAATGTAACCAGAAGCACATGTTTTTCTTGTACCTTTGCTCAAATCTAATGGAAGCGAAGGACAGGCCAATGTTCATTTTGGGATGAGTAGCTGTGCCTATAGTTAAGGCTTGCTAGCAATATCTCACCAGGAGCTTTAACTGGATACTGCTGTCTTGCTTTAGCTACATTTATTACTGTTTGGTTTGAGAAAATAAAATTGGCAAAATAAATGTTAAAAAGTAAGAATCTGAAGTTAAAAAGTTTTTTATTTATTATGTAGATGCTGCTTTTTTGACTTCTCACCTAGAGTGTGATATTCAGAGGCTTCAGTACGTTGATGTGGCCGATTGTATTTTTTCCATTTATATTGCAAAAAAGAAAGAGAAAAATGTTTACTTATACTCCATATTAGACACTTTTTAGACACCTTATATATTAGACACTTTCTTCATTCTCTGTTCATTTTTAAACTGAACATACATGAGTATATACTATTATTACTTGTGAGCTGATACACTCAGCTTTAATATTAAAGGGCCCATGTCATGCTTTTCCGGTTATTACCCGTCCCCTTGTGTGTTATGAAGGTTTTTCTGCATGTATACGGTGTGCAGAGTCACAAACCCTCAAAGTAAACCCTGTAGGGAGTAAAACTCTAACACAGAAAATACCTGTCTATGCTGCCCCAGAACGCCTCGTTGGAGATTTCTCTTTTTCCATTGTTTATTTCTTGGGTATAGTGACGTATTTGGGTATAGTGACGTAACGTAATGTCCGCGGAGCCGTTACGTTTGGACCAATCCGCGGACTTCCTCACACACACACACACACACACACACACACACTCGGCGGGACGTTGCGAGACTCGCTGCTGCTAGGAGCGGACAGTGTGAGCTGGCTCACTGGTGTGGGGTCAGCGAGACACCGCGGAACTCAGCCTGAGCACACACACAAACTCCCAGCCAGGCTGCGGGTGTGTGTGTGTGTGTTTCGGGCTGGGTTTCGCTGTGTCTCGCTGTCTCGCAGACGGCCACTGGGCTCACAGGGAGGGGGGGCAGGAGCTCCAACAAGCCGTTTAGGACAGAGAGTGAATACACATACTATACAGAGATGCTGCATGAGAAACCAATGTGAGTTTGGAACATTGAACAATGTAAATCTAGTCTAGTAGATCTCAACAATGGAATTATGATCAGTAGAAATGGCCATGACATGGGACCTTTAATTTTCTTTAAGGTGGCCTGTGATGTCTTTCAAATTTCAAAAGAGTATTTTCCCTGAATATGCTCCACATCTGACTTAAGGTTTATGAGACCAGATGAATTGTATTAAGTTGTAACCTGATATTGTGTCTTTGTGTTTACCTCTTTATTTTTGTATTTACAGGCTGCCTTGTTTGCCATCGACCTGCTGTTTGAAAAGAGCTATGAAAGGAAACCTATTTTTGTAAGTTTGTGATATTGTATCAATGTTTGTTCCTAGGTTAGAGGGTTGGTTGTTAGTCTGCTTGATTGCACATACAAATCTTTTTTATAAATATTATATTTAAAATATTCTATGTTCTCTTAATTTCAATTGAACACCATTTGACCAAGTGTTTAAAACACATTGGCGCTTTTACCAAGGATGAACTGTGGGTATTATTTTATTCTTTCCTTCCTGTCCCTCTCATCACACAGATCTCAGGGACCATCGTGGACCGGAGTGGACGAACTCTTTCCGGTCAGACAGGAGAAGCCTTCGTAGTGAGTTTGTCCCACGTTAACCCTCTCTGGTGAGTTAACACACAACTACACACACTATATATTAAAACACCGACTTCCTCCTCTCCCCCTCTATGCTGCAGTGTGAGTCTGACCTCCAGTCTCCCCTGGTTCTGTCTCTTTGTTGCAGCATTGGTCTGAACTGTGCCTTGGGGGCCACAGAGATGAGGCCCTTCATTGAAGCCATCGGGAAAAGCACCTCAGCTTTTATCATCTGTTATCCCAATGCAGGTAACCCTCACTCTTCTGAACAACAGCGTGTCTTCAGCACAGTGCGGGCATGGACTTAATAGTTCACATTTTACTAAATTATTTCTATATTTTGTATATAAACTCCTCAAAAAAAGTTTGGAAATGTTATTTCGGTCGATTATTCCTCCCCTTTAATAATACCAATTGGTATTGTATTTTATATCGTTGGAAAGCCTGATTAGTCACCTTTACAACGAGGTACAACTTGTAAGGATTGTGCATTCGTGGAATGAGCAACACAGCTAACCGTGTGGGTAGCGGCCCAAAAAGTTTTGCCAAAATCCCCTGCAATATTCTTCTGTTGGTATTCACTCTCGTTTTGAGTTGCTTGTTGGATTGGATGATTGCACTCTCCCACAGTAATAAGGAAAAAACAACACATATTGGCCATTTTTACACTGTCAGGGACCTCAGTAGCGTGTGGAAGATCCATACACAGCCACAACAGCTTGGCACCTCCTCCTCATGCTGGTCACCAGCCTGGTCACCAGCCTGGTCACACACTGCTGTGGGATGGCATCCCATTCCTCAACCAGGATTTTTCGCAAGTCATGGTTGCGTTGGTCACTCTGGCACGTACAGCACGCCCAAGCTGATCCCACAAGTGTTCAGTTGGGTTGAGGTTTGGACTCATGGCAGGCCATTCCATCCTCTCCACTCCCAAATTATGGAGGTACTCTGTGATGATCCTGGCTCTGTGGGGGCGAGCGTTGTCCTCCTGGAGGATGGAGTTAGGTCCCAGATTCTGGAGGTATGGGATATCCACTGGCTCCAGAATCTCATTCCGATATCTCACTGCATTGAGATTGCCTTCAATGATGACAAGTTCTGTTTTGCCTGTGAGAGAGATGTGAGATGACGTTCCCCCACATTCTTAGGTTCCACTGTCGGTGCTGTCGACACCAGCGCAAACGGGCCTGACGGTGAAGGGCAGTCATTGCAGGCTTCCTGGCAGCCTTATAAGCACGAAGACCGGCCATGTGCAGTCTGTTACTCACCGTCTGATCAGAGATCTGTCTGTGGTACTGTGAAGCTGACCGTTGAGCAGCCCGACCAAGCAAGGAGGCAGAGGCAGAACGTCCAAAATACAACCCGGTGTGGGCATTTATTACTCACGGGCACATGACACAGCCTCAATCTCGCTGTTCACGTGAGCCACAAGGATCTCACACCCCAAACAAAACAGGAAACACAGAGCCTAAATACCCACACTAATTAACCCAACAAGACACAGGTGAGGGGGGAGGAGACAACACAGGGCACCAGGTGAACATAATCAGGAGCAACAGACATGGGGAAAGGGAACCCTTTTCAAAATAAAACACATGTGCAATATACAAAGCCCAAAGCCGTCAGTCCACAGTGACGAAGCCATCTTCGTCACAGGTACCGTTGTGCAAATCTTGCCTGTAATCAGGTGTCAGTCACACACACCTGTGACTGGCATACACCTGCCAGCACTTGAAGCTCAAAACGAGAGTGAATACCAACAGAAGAATATTGCAGGGGATTTTGGCAAATTGTTTTGGGCCGCTACCCACACGGTTAGCTGTGTTGCTCATTCCACGAATGCACGATCTTTACAAGTTGTACCTCGTTGTAAAGGTGACTAATCAGGCTTTCCAACTATATAAAATACAATACCAATTGGTATTATTAAAGGGGAGGAATAATCGACCGAAATAACGTTTCCAAACTTTTTTTGAGGAGTTTATATTGCATTAAGCAAAAAAAAAAAATGAAATGCAATGATTCTGTTAGGATCTGTTTATTTTATGTTTTATTTTGGAATTGTCTAGGACTGTCGGCTTCCTGTTTTTCATTCAAGGATGTTCACCCCCTGGTTGCGGTCGAATAGTCCAAAAATCAGCTCCTAACGTCTAACCCTATCGTCTATTCCTTGACCTCGGAGTGAAACGTCATGGGGTTAAGGGATAGTGGATAGGAGAATTCAAAAGGACTTAGGAGAAGAGACTGCGGCACTTTAGAGAATCCGACTGCACTTTCACTATCCGACGTGTTTATGATGCGCCAGCGGAGGTCATAAATGTGCGCCTGCTGCTGTGGGGAAACTATGGAAACTACAGTTTTCTCTACAGCGGACTACAACATGGATGTTTAATAAGAACGAGGGACTACTGTAAACTCATCTAGAGACTCTGCACCGTGCTCTGATGCTGTTGTTTTATGCTTTATGAACGGGGACAACAGAGAAACATATTCTTCATGACCAAAGTTGGAATTGAAATAAAAAAGGAAAGTGAAACTTATGCTCGTCACCCTCTCCCTCCGGTCCACATTAATACAAATGATCCCAATACGTATGATTGTATGAAAAGATCTTAAAATCAATACAAATGTATTTATTATAAACGTTAGTCCTTAACATCTATCACTGTGTATATCACCATTCAAACATCTTTTAAAAGTTGAACAAACCCCACACAGCTCAGTAAACACTGTGAAATGTTGACTTTATTTGATCATTTCAGTAAAAACTAACGTTCATATTTCTCTTTTTGATTATAATACTGATGAACGTTCAAAACAAAGCACTTTGGCAACTTACCACATACGTTTTAAAATGCTTAATAAGCACCGTAACTTTCATGATATCATTTCTCGTTCATAATCGGTTGTTTCCGTGAACGGCCGACTGTTGTGTGACGGCAAATGCCGCGGCCGCAAGGCATTGTGGGGCAGCATTTTCTCCTCTCCTTTAGGTTAGGGAGGTCCAGTGGTTCCTAAGCTAAAGGAGGTTATAAAGGATGTTTGAAACCTCCTTTCCTATCATTTAGAGAATTCGAACGGCACTTATCATGGCTGCCACTGAGGGACTTCCGGGTCATTTCACTCCGTTAGGAAGGTTCCTAAGCTAAATGGACTATTCGACCGCAACCCCTGTCTGTCATGTGTGTATTTGTTTCCTGTCTGTGTTTTCCCTCCTGTGTGATTACCTGATTCTGTTCACCTGTGTCTTTGTGTTTTCCCTCCCCTCCCCAGCTGTGTCTTGTCGTCTTGATTGGCCATGTGTGTATTTAAGTTCTTGTTTTCTGTTGGGGTTTTGTGGGTTCTATTTCGTATATGGCTTCGCCCTCTAAGGCTATCGCTATTGGGTAATCCGCCTGCGCACCCGCGCAGCACTGAAACACTTGTAGTCCACGCCCGCCCGCAAGGTGGGCCCCACCCTCGGGCTCCCTTCCGGTATAAATAGGAAGGAGGCCCGACAATCTGCTCCCTCTTTTTCTTCAGCACCCCGTTACTGAAGCACAAGAGACACTTAGCGATATAACAGAGAACATGAGCAACAATTGCGTCAGAGATTGTCCCTCATGTGGATCAGGTTATATTATGAGCTACGATCAGCACACTGTATGCGAATCCTGCCTGGGGCCAGAGCACGCGTACGCGGCTCTCAGCCAGCAGGTCGCATGCACGCACTGTGCCCGTCTCCCCTCGGACGACAGGAAGCGTAGAGCGGACGCTCTCGCTGCTGCGGCCGAGGAGGACGATTGGCCCGTCCAGGTTTTCGAGCCCGTGGACGGCAGCCTCGTGTCCCTGGAGCCGAGTGCCGGGCAGGAGTCGGACGACTCCTACCCCGTCTCCCTCCACGGTTCACCGTATGGTTCTCCCCTCCCTCCTCTCCCCCGGACGGGGGAGACAGAGTCGGACCAGGGTGCCGACTTGGCGGCCGAGCACGCGGTCCCCTTCTCCGTCACCACGGCGCTGCCGGCGATAGGTGGCATCTTGGGGGAACTGCCAGGGATCATTTGCAAGGCGGTCGCCTGCAGAGGTCTCCCCGTTCCCCTAGCTCAGGAGAGGTGTGCTCCGGACGACATGGCCGGAGTTTTTTCGCGGGTGCAGACGGTCAGGAGTGATCCGATCTGGCCACGCTTCCCCGCCATCAGGAGGTACCAGGAGGGGGCGGCGGCGAACCCAAGGACCCTGAAGGCTCTGGTGGCCACATTTGTTCCCCTCACCAAGGTGGAGGGATTTACAGATGCTGGATTCCCAGCCACCCCTTCGCTGGAGCCGGGCCTGACGGCGTTTTTTGGGGTGAGGCAGGCCAACATGATCGCTGGACGGCGTCCTACGTTGGCCTCCCCCACGGACCAGTATGTCGCCCGCCAGGCCGACCGGGTGCACCAGTGTGCCTTTCAGGCGTCGGCGGCGGCGAACAACATCACGCTGCTCTCTAACTCGGTGGTGACGCTGGTGGAGCGGTCCACCACCTTGGCCGCTGATGAAGCGGAGGAGATCGCCAAGGCGGCCAGCACGGCGCTCACACTGTGCGCGTCTGTCGCTGTCTCCCAGGCAAGGATCGCCGCGTGGGTGACGCAGATCCAGCGCCACCTCTGGCTGCAGCAGGCGTCTGTTACAGAGACGGCCAGGAAGGTGCTACTGGACGCTCCAATCAGCCCGGACGGGCTGTTCGGACCCCAGTTCCACGCCATGGTGGAGTCCATGAAGGCGGCTGCAGAACAGGCGGACGACATCCGCCAGCACGTCAGCTGGCTCCGCAGCAGCCGCAACAGCAGCCGCAGCAGCCGCAGCAGCCGCAGCGTCCAACCCGGCCACAGCGGCAGGCGGAGAGGCATTCTCAGCAACCGCAGCCGCGGCGTCAGCGCCCGTCGGCGGCGGCAGGGGCTCCGCCCCGCGTCTCTGCTCCCCCGCCACCCCAGAGACGAAGGGGTCTCTCGGCGGTGAGTCAACGGGGAGTGAGGCACTCCCGCTCTGTGTCTGCTCCACGAGAGCCTCCAAGGAAGCAGAGCCGCCTTTGACGTGTTGGGGGGGATTGTGAGAAAAATAAAATGGGTTCATTTTCCAACTTTTTGTCTGAGTCATCAGTATCAAGTGTTTCTCACATATCCTCCACTCTGTGTAAACCAGCTGTCTATAACCTATCAGTTAGTAGCCAGCAGGGTTCGTTGCAAAAACCTGCACTTTTTAATCTATCGGTTAATAAACTGCAGAGTTCGCTAACTAAGCCAGCTGCCACCAATCTGTTGATTAGTAGACAGCAGGGCTCGCTGCAGAAGCCTGCTGGTTTTAACCTATCGGTTAATAAACCGCAGAGCTCGCTGCATTCCTCTGTCCGAGATACGTCTCCTACACACGGTCATAATAAACCCATGAGCGCCGTTGTAACGCCTCATGTGGTCAACACTGCATACATCTCCATTCATCCCCTGAGCGTGTACACGCCTCATGATGAGAGCCAGAGTGAAACGCAGCGTGTGGAGGCTCCCTCAGCCCTTTCGCTCCAGGCCCACCTTGGGTTGCCTCACAGGCAGCGGCGGCGAGGGCTCTGACGTGGCTCGTCGCCATGACGACCACAACACATCTCGAGCATGTGCGCCCGCTCTCAGAGTATTTCTCAGAGTGGCAGCGCGTGTGTCTGATGGACAGATGGATGAGCAGGCTGATCAGCAGAGGGTACACCCTGCAGTTCGCCTCTCCCCTCCCACAGTTCAATGGGATACAGGAAACACTCCTGTCATCCCAGGAACAGTGTCTTGCGCTCCAGGCAGAGCTGCGGGAACTCCTGTTGAAAGAGGCTATTTCCAGGGTTCCTCAAGGGGAAGAAAATCAGGGGTATTACTCCCGCTATTTTCTTGTCCCGAAAAAGACAGGGGGAATGAGACCCATCCTCGATCTGTCAGTTTTCAACAAGGTCATAATGAAAAGGCCTTTTCACATGCTGATGATCAGACAGGTGCTGGAATGTGTTCACCAGGGAGACTGGTTCACATCGATAGACCTGAAGGATGCATACTTCCACGTAGCCATCATCCCAAAACACAGGAAATACCTGCGTTTCTCATTCCAGGGAATATCGTACCAGTACAACCGTCTGCCGTTCAGATATTCCCTGGCTCCTCGCACTTTTTCGAAGTGTGTAGAGACGGCGCTGCAGCCGCTACACAGAGGAGGGATGAGAGTGCTGTTTTACCTGGACGACCTGCTATTGCTGGCTCGCTCCAGAGAGGAAGTTGCTTTACAGACGGTACAGCTCGTATCACATCAGTCAAAGCTGGGTTTCATAATAAACTGGAAGAAGAGCTGCCCTCTTCCCTCCCAGAGTATTATTTACCTGGGTGTGGAATTGAACTCAGCCCGCATGAGAGCGCGACTCTCACAGCAGAGAGTGGAGGCACTGACAGCTCTTCTCCGACGCGTCACACCTCGCAGCGTGGTGACAGCCCTCTCCGTGATGCAGCTGCTTGGCATGATGGCAGCTGGTCACGTGGTGATTCCCCTGGGTCTCCTTCACATGAGGAGACTCCAGAGGTGGTTTATTCGCCTGCGCATCGACCCCGTGCGACAGAAGAGGCGCATGGTGGCCATCCCTCCTTCCGTGGGTTCAGACTTAACCTATTGGAAAAGTCCCCACGTCCTGTCAGCGGGTGTGCCCCTGGGCAGAGTTACGTCACACATCTCGGTGTTCACAGACGCATCTCTCTCAGGGTGGGGAGGAACGTGTATGTCACAGGCAGTGGGGGGACAGTGGCCGGCTCACATGTCCCTCCACATAAACGTGCTGGAATTGCTCTCCGTACGGAGAGTAATCCAGTATTTTGCCCCGTTGCTGCGGAATCAGCATGTGTTAATTCGCACAGACAACAAAGCCGCGGCAGCCTACATCAATCGCCAGGGCGGAGTACGCTCAGTGCAGCTTCTGAAAACAGCCAGGCCGCTGTTGATCTGGGCGCGCGCACACTTGCTCTCCATCAGAGCAATGTATGTTCCCGGCGAACTGAACAAAGGGGCAGACCTCATGTCCAGAGGAGGTCCTCGCCAGGGGGACTGGAGCCTCCATCCCGAGCTGGTCTCCCAGGTATGGAGCCGGTTCGGGAGAGCAGAGGTGGATCTGTTCGCCGCACGCGGGAACGCGCAATGCGCCCTCTGGTTCTCCCTAAAAGCGCAGGACCACCCCCCCCTGGGGGTGGACGTGTTCGCACATCGACCATGGCCCAGGGGACTGTTGTACGCTTTCCCACCAGTTCCGCTGATCCCTCGGTTCCTGGACCGAGTGCAGGAGGAGCGACTGTCAGTGATCCTACTTTCCATGCCTACAGCGTACGCTGTCAGGCAGACCGTGGGAAATTCCGTAGCGCGGGGACGCTCTCTCGCAGGTGGAGGGAGCGATCAACAGTCACCCTGTGATAGGCCAGCACTTATGGGCATGGCCCCTGAACGGGAACACTTAGAGGGGCTGGGCCTCTCTCAAGATGTTGTACGGACCATTCAGGGAGCCAGGGCCGCGTCTACCAGAGCGTCCTACACAGCCAAGTGGACAGCTTTCCAGCATTGGTGTGTAGAAAAAAGCCTGGACCCCATTACGTGCCCCCTGCCTCACGTGCTGTCATTCCTCCAGCTGTTGTTGGACAGGAATTTGGCTTTCAACACAATCAAGGTGTATGCTGCTGCCATATCATCTTGTCATGTGGGTTTCGGGGTCGGGACGGTGTTTAGTCACCCCCTGACGAAACGTTTTCTGCGAGGAGTACGGAGACTCAGACCTGTGTCACGTGCACTAGCGCCTCAGTGGGATTTGGCTTTGGTGTTACGCGCACTAAGCAAAGCCCCATTTGAACCTTTAGATCAGGTTCCCCTTAAGATGTTATCAGCCAAAGTAGTACTACTTTTGGCTCTAACATCAGCAAAAAGGGTGAGTGATTTGTCTGCTCTCTCTGTGGCTCCGTCATGCCTCCGGATCCAAGGAGATGGCAGTTCAGCTGTTTTACGCCCTAACCCGGCTTTTATGCCAAAGGTCATCACAAGCTCTTTTAGGTCAAGAGTGATCACCCTGGATGGCTTCTTTCCCCCTCCTCACAGGTCGGAGGAAGAAGCCACGTCTCATCTCCTCTGTCCTGTGCGCGCGCTGTCCTGCTATGTGGCGCGCACGGCTGCCTGGCGCCGTTCTCAGCGCCTGTTTGTGCATTACAGAGAGTGCTCGATCGGGCAGCCTCTGTCTGCACAGCGGCTGTCACACTGGCTGTGTGAGGCTGTGTCACAGGCATATGTCTCCTCTGGGGTGGATCCCCCGGAGAACATCAATGCGCACTCCACCAGAGGAATTTCCTCCTCCACGGCTTTGCATTGCTGCATCTTGGTCTTCTCCCTGTTCATTTATTCAATTTTATTTGAGGGATGTCTCCCATTCCTCTCTGACACACCCTGTGCTGAGTGTCCTGTCAGAGTGAGTGACGTCAGGGATCCAGCTGTGCGCCTCTCTCCTGCCTCGGCACACGGAGAGTGGCCTGTATTTCCCTCTTATGAGAGGGACATCCCCCTTTTTCCCCTGACACATTTCGTACGGAATGTCTTGTCAGAGTGAGTGATGTTGGGGACCCAGCTGTGCGCTCTCCTGCCTGTCTGCACGCAGAGAGCTGCTATTCCCCCTCCTTTCTGTCACTGGGCAAAGTGTGACCTTCGTCTCTACTTTCTCACAGCGGCAGGTATGTATTGTTCCCAGCCTTCGTCCCCCTCATGGTAAATATTCATGTTATGCTATATTCCTGGGACTGTGATGCGCCATTCGCATGGCGCAATAGGCATGGGTTATCATCTGAGCAGGTGTGTCTGTGCTTCTTGTACCGGGGCGACCCAGTGGGGCGCAGACTACATCTTGCTTCGCCCTTAACCCAATAGCGATAGCCTTAGAGGGCGAAGCCATATACGAAATAGAACTGAAGTTACCTACTGTAACTCCAGCTTCTATGAGTATTGGCGTAGCCCTCTAAGTTCTGGGCCCCACTGGCTCCACGAATAGCTAAAGAAAAGTTGTTTTTGTGTGGGAGCAGATTGTCGGGCCTCCTTCCTATTTATACCGGAAGGGAGCCCGAGGGTGGGGCCCACCTTGCGGGCGGGCGTGGACTACAAGTGTTTCAGTGCTGCGCGGGTGCGCAGGGGGATTACCCAATAGCGATAGCCTTAGAGGGCTACGCCAATACTCATAGAAGCTGGAGTTACAGTAGGTAACTTCAGTTCCTTTTTGTGCTTAGAGGGAGATATAGTTCCTGTCTGTTTTTTTGTTGATCCTGTTGCCTTGAATAAAGGTTTTTTGCTGTTAAACAATCGTCTGTCTGCACTTGGGTCCTCCCTGCGCTGCTCATCCCTAACAGATTCTTTGTTAAAGTAATACATTATACTCTGGAAGTCTATAAACAATTAATTCACACTCCAGACTTCATATAAAAGTGCAATGACCTCAATATGCTACAGATGTTAACAAATGTATAGATAAATTATTAGAAATTGTAAATAAAATTAAACATTTTATATTTGAATTGAGCGGGATACAATATTTGTAACCTTTTAATGTAATAAAAATGATATACCACCACAGACTACAGCCACAGAAATGAGCAGTTTCCTACGTTTTTGGAAAATAAATTCAGGCAATTTTAGTTTTATATGAATGTTTGTACACACACTGTGAATGATTCAGCCGTAGCACACACTGACCTGTGGCCTTTATGTTGCTAAATGTCTCAGAGCACCCGAGATGATGTAATGATGCCATGAACTCTGCCTTCTGTTTTCTGTCAGGTCTTCCCAACACATTTGGAGAGTACGACGAAACCCCGACAATAACATCCTCCAATTTAAAGGTTCTATTCCGTCATTTATTTATAGGACTGGTGTTTAATGCTATTATTGATTTCTTCTTTTATCTTTAATACTTTAGTATGCACGCTTTAGGTAACATTAAGCTGTCTTTGGCTCTTTTCTGCTGTAGCAATGTACATGTCCCCTCTGTGGGACTAATAAAGGTATTCTGATTCTGACGTACATTATATAGCACATTGATCTGTCATTTGATCTATGTATCAACATTTAAAAAACGTTACAGTAATCTTCTTCAAGAATACTATTTACAAAATGGTATTATGTACATACATTAAAGTGGACCTATCATGCTATATTTAAATGATATATTGTAGGGCCATACCTATATAAGGTATATTTATACGTTTCTGTTTTCAAAATACCAAACAGATCATGCATTTTAGCCATGCCTCATTTCACTCTATGTGCTGTTTGCTGTCTACGGGGCTGATTCTGCTGACCACGCCCCCCTGCAGGAGAGGGGAGACGTGCTCTGATCAGCTGCTGGGCTGTCAGAAGAGGGGGAGAAAAAGAGATCTCCGTCCTCCGTGTTTTATTATATAGAGTCGTTATTCATTTGTTTTAAAGCTCAATAAATAACAAAGAAGACCTTTGACCGGCACTTTTCTAATTTTGTCCGGAAGATTTAAACTTTAACGGACATCTTGACCGGCGAAAGAAACTGAAACTGAAACTCTGCCGCACGGTCCCCTCGTTCCTTGGAAGAGGCGGAGAGGTGGGTGTTTGTCATCTGCTGGTGGACTAACCGGAGAGAATTACAGTGCTTGCCTCGACGGGGAGGGATTGCATTGAATTAAAGCAGCAGGAGCAAACGCTTGCCTCGGGGAGGGAGAAAAAAAGCCACAGCGGAGAATAAACAGAAGGGTAACCATGGTAACTATGGGCGGGAAGTCTTCTTCGCTGCTTTTGTGGCAGACTACAGCGCCACTTACAGGCCTGGCATATGTACTACAGCGTCTCCAGCGCTTTCGAGCGGCAATGGCCGGCCGTGGCCCAACCCCACATTCCCCTGATAGGTGGAGAGTTGGCCCAATAGCCGTAGCGCCACCGTCCTGACAGGACAGTGTTCAAATCTGGATCAGTTTGTATCAGATCCGTTCAGCCCCTTTTTTAGAGATTTGGGTATGGAAGTAAATAGAGAGGGTTGTGTTTTCTGACACTTGGTGAGTTCCCTGGAACACCGGGGACACATATTAATGTATAAAAGACGTACAAAAGTGCATTTTGCATGATAGGTCCCCTTTAATATCATTATTGTGATAAGTAAGTATTCATCATTATTGAATACTCGTTTTGGCACATACATGCATCCTTCAGGTTAATGATCGCATTATGACTTAGGATTGCTGATTACTCACTACAGTATAGTGTTCTTGCAGCAACATCCACTCCATGAACCTATAAAGAGAGCGATCGTTACAGATGAATCACTTTAACAACACAAGATGGTGGCAGCGCCTTGATAAAAGTCAGATTTCGATACAAAACAATATACGTTTTATTTCAATATTCTCAAGTTTGCATGTGTACATACTTGTGCTATAGCATTTCTTTTAATACCAGTTCTCTCTCCAAAACAGACAGTAGTCTCAAAACCACCCTGTTTAAAAAGAAAGTTAGTCATTCAAACAATACTATATTCTAAGAAAGTATAGCTGATCCTTGCTGACTCATTGTAGCAGCTGACTAAATATTAATATGTATTATATCTGTGTCTGCAGGAATTTGCTATGGATGGCCTGGTGAATATAGTGGGAGGCTGTTGTGGGACCACACCAGGACACATCAGGTCATTATGTCATTTTTTCTTTTTAAAGTGATTACAAAATCATGGCAATTTTTTAAAATATATTTTCCTATCCCCTCTTTCTTCCTCAAACAGGGCCATATCAGAAGCAGTCAAACAGTGTCAGCCCAGAGTTCCTGCTGCTGATATTTATCAGGACTACATGCTGCTCTCAGGTAATACAACCTTCTGTAACAACATGTGAAAACTAAACTCTGCATAAAGGCAGTCTGCAATATGTGCCAGGTAAATCTCATTTTAAAAATACTTTTATGTTAAAACTAGTAAAATCCCTTTTTCAGATTACAGTTACAGTAATTATTGTCTTTAGGATCTATAAAAGTGCTTGTATGTATTTTTCATTTATAACCAACCTTTATTTATATGTGTTTAACACATCAGCTGCTATTATTTCAGCATTTCCTATACACCACTATACACACGAAATCCAGATCAAAACTCAAAGCATGTACATTTAAACAGGACAACGTTTAAATGTTCAGGCATTGGAGTTTGTTTATGCTTTAATCTTTTGAATGAAATAGTGGTGCTGTAACCCCCCTTCCCTCTATTCATCCCTGTTTGACTCAAAAACATAGAGTTAATGTGATCAAATATTTTCTCCTTTTCAGGTTTAGAGCCGTTCAGGATCGGCCCTTACACCAACTTTGTGAACATCGGCGAGCGCTGCAACGTGGCCGGGTCGCGCAAGTTTGCCAAGCTGATCATGTCAGGAAACTACGAGGTGAGACACATTCTGAGGACAGTACAGTTTTTGTGAAGATTGTAATTATTTTGCTGCTATTTGAACATGTTTTTGGGCAGCATAGGATGATTGAAAATACGGGGGCCAGGTCATCCCCACTAGCAACTTCAATTATAATTGTTTTGCATGGAGGAAATTCTTAAAAGAAACGGATAAATGATTCATGGACAAAGTTTGTCTTTTGTTATATTTAATAAAGTAATAAAGAAAGTCAATATACAATTGAATTGATCTCAAATGCAGGAACAGAGCAACTTCATCCTCAGAGGATAAAGAGGTTCTGCACCCCGAACACAGCTCACAGTCTCACTATATATCCATGAAAGGAAACAGCCAACTGTCCCTACATCCCATCATTAAACCATCAAACCCCCTTGTCCTTAACCATTTGCAAATCCACTTCTACTCTTCCTTTTGCACTCCTGAAATGTAAATCCTAAACATATGTCTCTGTTAAACACATACAAGACTAGACATACAATTTAACAGAGGAAAAGGCAATCAGAGTATAAGACTATATGTTTAAAATGATTATATGATCATTTGACACAACATTTTGTTGTTGTAATTGTTATGATTTGTAATCTTTCATAAAATCTGTCTAATCCTGAGCGCAGCTGTACTTGTATCTTGAATATAACCGTTTGTTTACTGGGTTCCTCTCTGCCTGTTGTCCAGGAGGCTCTCAGCATTGCTAAAGCCCAGGTGGAGATGGGGGCCCAGGTCCTGGATATAAACATGGACGAGGGGATGCTGGAGGGGCCCACAGCTATGGCCCGCTTCTGTAACTTGATTGGTTCTGAGCCAGACATCTCACGGGTAGGGAGCTGAAAGGCAGTGGAATATACTCATAAATCATCAATATGATAAGCCATGTAACTATATTAGGTATATTGGGACACACTATATTACAGAAATGACGACCGATCTCCCACAATTGCAAAGTGTTATTGTAGGAGAGAACATTATTTTTGGGGTTCTCTAGCTCTAAGGATAACAATTTCGGTTGGTCCAACACAAATACCTCAGCAACTATTGCACCGATTGTCACAACATTTCAACATTTCTTACACTCATTCACCCCCCTGAATGAATTGTGAGGACTTTCCCTTTGTGCCATTATAAAGTCAAAAGATACTTCCATAATTTGGTTTATGATCAAAAACCAGCTAACTAAAATCATTATCAGCAGCTTCTGTGTTACCTAATTAGCTAATTCTAGCATTCTGACATGCTTAAATCAGGTTGTTGTCATGTTAAACATAACATCTGCTAAATGTGACCTTATTATCATAATGATTGTGGTGCAAAATGATAGCATACTGATGTTAGCATTCAGCTTCACAGAGCATGAGTCTACTTATTATTTCTGATTTTCACCAAAAGGATGAGTGTATTTCAGTATCAGGGATGTGTGTGGACTTTTACTCATGGACAAACTGATTAGATTTGGGTGGTTAAATGTCACTGTCCTTATGTCCTTGTAAACGTGATATCTGAGGGAATGTCTTCACATTTGGCTCAAAGATGGAATTATTAGAATTTGGTGGTCAAAAGGTCGATCTGACTGTGACCTCACATCCACATCATTCACTTGATATCTAAGGAGCCCTTGAAGGAATTTAATTACGTCTGGTACAATCACCAATTTGACTCGTCTGACTGATGAGACGATTAGAAGGTCAATGTGACCTCACAAAATATGCTTTTGGCCATATATAGATGATTTATATTCTTATTATTTCCACACAAATATAATAAGAGTATAGAATTATGAAGTTATGACATTTTGACAAATATGAATATCAACTGTAACGAGCTGACGAAGGCATACAACTGCAAATTCTAATTCCCTTATGTTAATCTGCTCAGTAAATAAAAACAGACAGTTAGCCCATCTTTCTTTCACAGCTGTGCTTTCCCTTCCTCCTGCCAGGTTCCTCTGTGCATCGACTCCTCTAACTTCTCAGTGATTGAGGCTGGGCTGAAATGCTGTCAGGGGAAGTGTATCGTGAACAGCATCAGCCTGAAGGAAGGAGAGGAGGAGTTCTTACACCGAGCTGCCACTGTGAAGCGCTACGGAGCCGCTGTGGTCGTCATGGCCTTTGATGAGGAGGGACAGGTAAGGAGTCAGACACACGCATACACACACACACACACACACACACACACACACACACACACACACACACACACACACACACACACACACACACACACACACACACACACACACACACACACACACACACACACACTGACACATACACATACACATACACATACACATACACACACACACACAGACAGACACAACCACACACACACACACATATGTGTGACACGTCTGCTCCCCTCTCAAGGCCACAGACGCAGAGCGGAAGGTGGAGATCTGCACTCGGGCCTACAATCTGCTGGTCAACAAAGTGGGATTCAACCCCAACGACATCATCTTTGACCCCAACATTCTCACCATCGGCACAGGCATGGAGGAACACAACGACTTCGCCATATACTTCATCAGAGCCACCAGAATGATCAAGGTATGCACCTGTCGGTCGAGAAAAACAAAGCATTTATTCAACCGATCATCAACTTGTCTGTTTAGCAACCTTTTCTGAATCAAATAATCTATGACACATACGCTCGTACTGTGTACTGCTCATTTTAACTGTTCATGGTCAGTTAGATTAACATTTGAATCAATAATCACATTGCTGACACCTCTAAGTAACCTTTTGATAAGTGGCATTGTTTCCCCTACCATTGTCTTGGGGGGGCGCTGTGCCACCCCAACGGAACCCCGCGCCCCCCCTGAAATTCAAGGTGTTTTTTTTTATATATATATATATATATATGCCAAATCGCAACTGAACTAATCTATCTACGGTCACTTTTCACATTGAACATGTGCTCTTTTAAGGCAGCACCCCCCCCCAAATGCAGTAAAGCTAGAGGAAACACTGAGTGGGGTTGTTGGAGCTTCACACAGACTGGTGGGAAGCAACCACTGCTGTTCCTGACTGAATTCATTTATACCCAAGAAGAAAAATCCTGGCAAGCTTTATGCAATAACCAAAGAAAAAATGCTCTTAAAAATGTAAATATTTAAATATTTCTATTGGACTTATTTTCAATGTATTTCTTGGTATGTTTGAGCTCCTAAAACCTTCTACTTTTTTTCATGCTGACTTTTGAATTGATCTCAAGTTATTGCATACTGAATTAACACAAATACTGTTTACTTATGAAAAAAACATCACTTTACTCACTGTGGGCCATACAAATCCCCAAAAGACTTGAAAACAAATGCATTTGTGTATGTGTGTGTGTGTGTATCCATGAAGGAAACATTACCAAGAGCCAGGGTGAGTGGAGGTCTGTCCAACCTGTCCTTCTCCTTCAGAGGGATGGAGGCCATCAGAGAAGCCATGCATGGAGCGTTTCTCTACCAGGCTATCAAGGTGAGCCCTGAACACAACCCCCCACCCACATAGCCCACTATCAGTACAGCTGTGACACTATAGACCAGGGTCTGTGGTTTATTGTGAATAATCACAACAATGTTCTACAGGAAGGGTTACTTTGTTTGGCTAAGAATACCATAACAACTATTATCCTGCCCTATTTTGTTTTGCATTAGAGCAACAGGGCTTTTACAATTTGACAGATATAACCAACACACCTTACAAGTGTTAACAATTACTTTTTTTAAATTGTTGGGACTGAAGGTTAAATGAGAGTTCTTATAGCTGTTTTGGCCAAACCCCAGGAAGCTCGTCTAGCACAGAGACCCAATCAGAGAAAGGAGCCACTTTCAGTAACAGTGAGAGTGAAGACATGCATAGTTTAGGGCTGGAATATTTAATCTCAAATCTATAAACTTTAGTAGCAAATAGTTTCATACCATTTATTTTTAATAGAAACCTATGAAGTGTTACATTTCATTCTGACAGTATTTGCCCAAAAGTGAAGACACTTCAACCGTACACCAATATGATTGTTGAACGTCTCATTCCAAGACAATAGGGATGCTTGTAAATGTGATGATGCTAGCCAAGGCAGTATGACATATGAATCACATGTTTTGCTTCTACACAGGTCAGTCAAATTGTATTTAGTACAATATCACTGTTTACACACCCAAATTCATGAGGAAAACGTTGATGAAACAGAGGAGGATCCCTCTCCCAGGTGTTGTGTGTATAGATTAAAAAAGACAACACATTTACAACAAAGAAAATTAAAATGATAAAACATAATTACGTTCATAAAAAAGATAAATCTAGGAGGATCTCAAAAATCTTCCTGTTGCCACCAGGTGGAGCAATCTGCGTAGTTACAGACACAAGAACTCTGGGAATAATGTCCTGGATGCTGAGTGAGCAACATGCATTTATGCCGCATGAGAGCATATAGATAAAGTAGGAGATCAAATCTGAAATCTGAAAGTCTCTCAACAGTCTAACCCTACAGCAGCATAATTACAGTCTGGTTCAAGGCCAGCCCTGACTGCGTTTTTCCACATCCTTTCTACCCGTAACACTGTGTGTGCTCTGTCCTCTCTCAGGATGGGATGGACATGGGCATAGTGAATGCTGGGAACCTGCCGGTGTATGATGACATAGATAAAGAGCTGCTGTTACTGTGTGAGAACCTCATCTGGAACAGAGACGCTGAGGCTACTGAGAAACTGCTGACCTACGCTCAGGTATACACACATGCATAAACACATGCAAACAGGTAATACACCAGTTTGTTGTTCATTTGGTTAACAGTTGTCGCCTTTACTGCTATTGCTCACAGAACAATGTGAAAGGAGCGAAGAAGGTGGTTCAGACGGATGAATGGAGGGAAGGAAGTGTGGAGGAGAGGCTGGAGTACGCTCTCATCAAGGTAACACTACTAATTGTTTAACACATACTGGCATTTAAAAAGTTTTCCTTCACCTACGCTGATCAGACTCAGACTCACGTCATCCATGTCTCTAAATATTCTCAAACAAATGTTTTAAGTGCACTCAGACATGGGTACGTTTTTTACAGTAAAGTTAAGTGGCCAGTTAAATATCATCTGTAATTTACCTGTGTGGACAAAGGAAGGATTGAGGTGATTGTAGATGTTCTCTATACTCTGAATCAGATCATTTATCACTAATATTGTGGGCCCCTAACCAGACCCGGCGTCATGGGCGGGCCCCATGGGGCCAGGCCCGCCCATCCAGGATTTGCCTGCGTGCTTGCCCAAGTTGGCACAGCATTACAAATGTGCCACAAAACCATCAACAGCCTTATGGCAACCTAAAACCCCTCTCTTTCCGTAAAAAAACAATTCACGAGCGCCCCCCCCCCCCCCCCCCCCCCCGTTGACAAATCTCGAGCGTCTAACAACCCCCCCCGTTGAAAATTCAGGTTTCCCGGGAAATGTAAGTGTCGGGGTGGGCCCGCCCTGGTAAATCAAATGCCCGCCCAGAGATGTATGTCTGCCGCCGGGTCTGCCCCTAACTATGCAATGTGTGATCATTAATACGATGGACATTTAAAATGATTAGGCCTACATGTCGGTTGATGCTGTATTTGGATTCATTTAGTGTTAGAACCTAGAAGATTAATAATTTGGATTTTCTACATTGGCTTGTTGTTGACACATTTGATTTATTCTATTCTTAAATTATTCTATAACAAAAAAACATTTCACTTTATTTATTAACATAACAAACAATGAAGTTTTACAATGTGCACAGCTCAAAAATGCTAAGAAGAAAGAATGTGAAGAGATTTTCATAGAATTAACTTTCCAGCCCTTGTTTCACCTTGTGTTTACTTTTTAATTTAAAGATTAACAAGGAAACATTATATTTGATTTAAGAAATATCAAAACCAAACATGATTTCCCCTATTGACGATTAAGGTTGGCTATTTCTTTTCATTTCTTCCATAATGCTCCATGGTGCGTTGCTGCTGTCAGGGAATAGACAAGCATGTGGTGGAGGATGTGGAGGAGTGTCGGGCTCAGGTGGGCCGCTACACCCGGCCCCTGCACATCATCGAGGGGCCCCTGATGAACGGCATGAAGGTGGTGGGGGATCTGTTCGGAGCTGGGAAGATGTTCCTTCCACAGGTAGGAGGAACTCTTATTCTGTGATAGTCTTCTTGTTGATGGTTGGCAAAGTTTGTAAAATTACTTTTTTTTATCTTCTATTGAGTAATGCTGATTGTCGCTGCTCACAGATATCAGGATTATAATCCATCAATTTGGGACTGTAATGTATTTCAAATAGAGTTTGTTTAACATTTGCATTGCATTTGAATTCCATCCATGGCAACTGCATGAAGGAGTGCTGATTATACATTTATTGTTTCCAACACGGGGGGGGGGCAGTGGTTAGCACTATGGCCCCAGAGCAAGATGGTTCTGATTCTAAACAGAACATGAATTTACAAGACACATGTATTTTATGTTCACAACTGTATTTGATCAGTTTGCTTAACTTCTGATCGTGGTGTGTTTCAGGTGATCAAGTCTGCCCGGGTGATGAAGAGGGCGGTGGGCCATCTGATTCCCTTCATGGAGAAGGAGAGGGAGGAGATGAAGGCTCTGTCCGGCTCTACGGAGGACGTGGTGAGTACTGCAACTCTTATTTTGTCCAAGATCTTATCAAAAAGATCAAAAAGATTTTCTCTGCAGACCTACAAGTAATGCCAAAAGAACAATAAAAGCATGTGTCTACAAATGCTAACCATTTTAAAGTTCAATCAGGGACTCCCAGATCATGTTGTGTTCCCTTGATCAAAATCCTTTCATCCTGTATCTGTCCAAATAATAAGTCAATCCAATATTGCTTTTCATTTGACTTGTAATATCATATTTGAATCATCCATGATTGATGCAATATGGAGGTGTCCTTGAGCAAGAGACTTAACCCCAAATTGCTCCCGTAGGCATGTCTACCGTATTGAAGGGTATATTAGTCGCTTTGGATACAATTCTCAGCGAAATTACATGTATATTGTAAAAGCTTTACAACTAACAGATTTCACGTGTTCCCTGACGCTTTATTTCCTCTCCTCCTCTGCAGGACCCCTATCAGGGCACCATAGTTCTGGCCACAGTGAAGGGAGACGTCCATGATATTGGAAAGAACATTGTGGGGGTGGTGCTGGGTTGCAACAACTTCAGGTAAAACTTAGAGTTCCAACTTCAAATCTCCTCTGAGCATTGTTTTTTGTTTGACAAAACAGTTACTATATTTGTCTTTGGCATTCAAAACAATCATTCAGAAGCAGATTTAAAAATTCTGTGATGATTAACAGTGCTGTTACTGTATCTGGTTAAACAGCAGAGCCCCTGGTGCTGGACCCACAGTAACTGCAGTTCAACTCTGACTCTGTAATGAAGCACTAGTAGCTTTCTCACTTTGGTGTCCTGGTGCACCACCCTCCGACACATTGACATGTTTCAAATGTACAATTCACTATTAAAATCTACAAACAGAAGAACAAAGAAAGAAACTAAGAGTAAAGCTTGTGTGTATTTTTCATGTTTCTTCTCTTTTAGAGTGATCGACATGGGTGTGATGGTCCCCTGTGATAAGATCCTCAGAGAGGCCGTCAAACAGAAAGCAGGTGAGGACAGTTCACATTACATATCGTCAATGTTAGATGCCGTAGATACATTAAAATAACATAACAATTCATTAATCCAGATAATTAGTTGATTCAATTAAAGGTGGGGTAGGTAAGTTTGAGAAACCGGCTCGAGATACACTTTTTGTTATCTTCCATGGAATGCTCTTAACATCCCGATAGCAATGAATATCTTAAGTGCTTTGACAAAAAATACATAAAAAAATGTCATCTGTGGAAGCAGTGATACTGTAAAAAGTACGACCAATCATTTTAGCCGGCCCGGCTAAAATAACTGGATGGCCTACCTGCCTGTCAGCCTTCCATCTGTGCACAAACTTATCTCGTGCCCTCATTGGTCATGTGCGCGTTCGTGTGTGTTGGAGGAGGTGCTCTGTAAGGAAGTGGCAGATTTTTTCCGGCTGTGAATTTTCTAATTCTAGCGATCTCGAGCCGGTTACTCCAACATTACCTACCCCACCTTTAATATCATAATTTAGGAAATGTCTCTTATTTTAAGGCAATGTGAAAGGCCATACAACATCATTATTATTTATGACTAGATCGAGTTATTTCAGGTGTTTAAGGAGCAGCTTCAATGTTGGCATTACCTAGCCCTGAGTGAACTCCAAATGAAAAGCCGTTTGCTTGTCATTTTGAAAAACAGACCTAAAAAAGCATCATTATACAGTTATATGAGAATACTTTTATTTAATTAATTGCAAGTAAATCAGAGAAAATTCCTTTTTTTTTTGTGTTCACACAACTGAAATATGTTCATTTAATTGTTTATTTGAACCGGGACAGTGCACATTAATGAACATTTTAAACAAAATAATGCTTTTAAATGTAAATGAGCCGGATTTGAGCTTTGAGCTAGTTTCCATCCGTAGTCCCGTCACATACAACATTTATGAACATAACATTTATATACATGGCAAGCAGAAATACATGATATGCAGAAAGAGCATGAGCAGCATACAAGCCACAAGGCAGTACAATGTAGCAGCTACGACATATAAAGTGCAGGAGGAGATAAAAGAGATACATAAAGTGCAAAAAAAGAGCTACCTAAAGTGCAAGAGGAGTTACCCCTGTATTAAAGTGCAGTTAGCGGTGATTGCACGTCTGTTTGTTTCTTAACCTTTTAGTTGACCTTTAAAACTATTGAGAGTGAAACAATCCCGTATCTCAGTTGGGAGGCTATTCCACAAAGAGCTGCCCTTAATGGAGAGGACATTTTGACAGAAAGTGGTCCGTCTACGGTGGACCTCACATGCCCCTTTCACACCGGCGCTTTTCCAGCTCTTGCTGGGAGCTAGAGCCTGAAAAGCGCCGGTTTTTCCTGTTCACACCGCAGCGGCGGCGCGTCATAGCTCCGGAATGCGGTTCACTTCCAGCTCCAAAAAGTTGTCGGTCCAGAGGCAAGAGCTTTGGAGCTATGACGCGGCGTCGCTTACGTCGAGGCGTGCAGGAAACCTTACTTTGACCATCCGTTCGCTGTTATTGATCATTGTGGAGAGCAGGCAGACGTTTTGTTTGTTATTATAGCAGCTATCGGATGGAATCATTACATGGGCTGCACAGGTTGTCATGTCCGACTATCACAAGTAGAATCATAATGAAAAATACGCCGGTAAAATGTGCCTGTAGAAAACGGCTTAGCATGTAGTCAGTTTAGCTTCGGTTGCTATGCTAACATCACCCATGTTATACCAGAGAAACTTTCATAACAGCGTTGTGATGCCAAACAGCGTCAATTCAGACTGACACCAAACAGCGTCAATTCAGACTGACACACATTCACTTAAGGGGAACTGGGGATATGTATCAGCTGCTTGTGTGACAGTCAGACAGTGAATACTTTAGAGCCGTGTGAGCTAACCCGGAGCTAAAGGGAGAATAAACTCCCGTGGAAGAGCAGCCAGCACTGCAGCGGTCGGTAAATGCCGCTGAAACACATTAATAAACAATGAACCACGGCACTCTGGAGAAAAGTATAAGGTTGGAGAAGTCGTTATTTAATTTAATCTGGCTTCGTATGATTAAAAGCAACACGATCGTCGACCCGACGCAGTCCCCGGCCCGTTGTTGTTGTGGGAGAAAATCTCTCGGCAGCTCTGGGCGGTGTGAACAGAGCGGGAGCTGAAAAGGGAAACCGGAGCTGAACCAGAAAAGCTCTCGCTAGGAGCTAGAAAGGGAAAAGCGCTGGTGTGAAAGCCGCAACAGTCTCCTCTGGTTTCTGACCTAGTGCAGCGTCCAGTGTGTTTTTTGTGGATGAATTCCCCTAAGGGGGAGGGGGGGGACCAGTCCATGTAAACATTTATAAATAAAACACATACTTTTAAAAGACTTAAAATTGTCAAAACTCAAGAAATGGTGTTTCTCTAGGATGGTACAGTGGTGGTATGAATAAGGCTTTCTGTCAAACACCTTGATAGCTCTCTTGTACAGCTGTTCTATGGGTTTCAGGTTTGTGGCACAAGCAAACGACCAGTTTGTAAAACAGTATTCAATGTGGGATAAAATCATACAGTGGAGGTATGACTTTGCAGCATTGACAGTTAAGAAAGGTCTAATTTGTTTAAAATTGTGCAAGTTGAATTGAATGGTATTGGATACTTTCTTGATATGTTCTTAAAATTCAAGTTCAAGTCCAGTATGACTCCAAGATACTTGAAGTGGGGGACTAGTTCTAATTCTGCTCCGTTTAAAAACACGTTGGATCCTTCCATTTTGACTGGTCGTTTACTGAACATCATGCATACTGTTTTTTTTTGCATTTAACTGTAAGCAAATGTTGTTCAGCCAGTGTTGAACCTTCATTTCACTTCAAACCTTTATTTAACCAGATGGTCCCATTGAGATCATAGATCTCTTTTTCAAGGGAGACCTGCAGCATATAGGTTCCACATGAAACATAAAACCATAAAGGACATCATACATTATATTTTACAGGATACATTTACATAGTTATAGACAAATTATTTGAGAGACAGGATGAGATAATTTCAGTATTTTTCCCCTGTACAAAGATGACCGCATCATCGGCATACATTTGCACATTCAACTCAGGACATACATTCGGCAAGTCATTAATGTACAGAGAAAACAGTAATGGTCCAAGAATGGAACCTTGTGGAACCCCAACAGGGTTCACAAGGTAGGGGGATTTGGTACCGTTGACCAAAACACACTGTTTTCTGTTTGATAAGTAAGATTTAACCCACTGTATTAAATCTGCAGAAAAATTGAAATACGTCAGCTTTGTAAGGAGCACTTGGTGGTTAACAGTGTCAAAAGCCTTCCTGAGATCAAGGAAGACAGCACCTACATATGGGCTCGTGTCCAGCATACATTTAACCTTTTCCACAAAGACACAGTTAGCTGTCTCAGTGGAGTGGTGAGCACGGAAACCAAACTGCATAGGGTGGAGTGGAGCGAAACCTTTATCTAAATGTTTGGTGATTAGTTTTGACACCCATTTCTCAGCTACCTTAGAGACACAGGGGAGGATGCTGATTGGTCTGTAATTGGACATCATTGCCTTATCCCCAGATTTAAAGATCGGTGTCACCGTGGCCACCTTCCAGGATGATGGAACTTCCCTCGTACTGATAGATTGATTTACTAGCATAGTAATTGGTTTTATTAGACTATCAATATTTGTCTTTATGAAGTTGGTGTCTAAGTCATCTGCATCTGCATCCCTAGCCTTAGAACTTTTTAACCCTGAGATTATATTTTTTACCTCCACCTCTGTGATTTCCTCCAGGTCAAAAACTGGATGTGTATCCACAGTCGGGCTAGGTGAGACCTCAGATGGCGGGAAGAGCTTTGTGATGTCCAGAGCACTATTTATAAAATACTCATTTAGAGTGCTGGCCAACACTGCAGGGTCTTTTATCAGGGCATCATTGATTTTTAATTCTAGAGCATTATTATTTTCCTGTTTCTTATGTTTACCTAGTAGTTTATTTAGGATAGGATTTGCCAAACGTTTTTACTGTACTTAAATACTTAAGATGAATTCAGCGACGGGGGCTTCAGTAGATACAGTGAACCTCAGGTGATGTCATGAACCAGACACCATGTTGTCTAACAGCAGCAGCAGTCATGTGGGGTCTGTTGACTTTGTTCTGCAGATATCATCGGTCTGTCCGGGCTCATCACCCCCTCCCTGGAGGAGATGATCTATGTGGCCAAAGAGATGGAGAGACTGGGGATGACCACACCCCTGCTGATTGGAGGAGCCACCACATCAAAGTAACACACAAAACAATATTTATTATGTGATCCCGGCGGCATATTAACATAAAAGATCAACATAATCTTCCTTCATTCAAAAGTAACCAAAGGAGTTCTTGGTATAATCTGAAATAACAAAAAGATTGCGGTCAAAATACTTAACCACTTTACCATCTAATATCTGTGTCTCATTGTCCTGCCATATATAGACATGTGTGTCATGTCCTGCCTCTCAGCGCATATTTATTGACAGCCATAAGATTAACTTATTAATGAACTAAATTGACATGTTTTACATCTAATTGAATTCACAAAAAATAAAGAATTAGGTAAGTTGGATTTAAAGCATTTAACAAATATTCAAACAATAATAATCTTGTTAAAAAGTCAAATGGATTTAACAATGTGACAAAAACTTAACGCAGATGAAGCAGCTGTCTACAGTACACCAAGAGTGTTATAAAACGCTATGATCTCTACTAAATATAATTTATACATTTATTGAAAGGTAATACATAATACGTAAAAAGTAATATAAGGAAGTTCCTCCGTTTGCAATACTGTCATTGACAAACTGTGTTTGATAGGACACACACTTCAGTGAAGATCGCCCCTCGATACACTTCCCCTGTGGTCCACGTGCTGGACGCCTCCCGGAGTGTGGTGGTGGTAAGACTTTATTCACTTCAACTACCCTATGGCCTAAAGAAACATACTCATTGCAATGGGCTCGAAATATCCCATTATGAGTATAAAACATGTTTTATTTGCACATTGATTTAATTTAAAGCACATTTGTATATTTAATACCCTGACTACGTTGAGTGGGCTTGAATTAAGAGCGGAATAGATCTGGGATATATATGATGCATGCAATTGCTGAGGATTTTCAAAGTTTAAACCTGCGCCTACGTCATAATCAGCATCAAAATACAAATAGTTAGATCAGGGGTGGGGAACCTTTTTCCTCTCAAGGGCCATTTCAATTTTTTCAACATCCTCCGAGGGCCGTACAAATGATTGACCTCTGCTTAAAAATACTAAAATCACAGCCCATTCATTTTGCCTTTCTTTCATGCTGTGCAAAGAAAAAGCAACCCACGGGAAGATTTGTTTTTAAATGTTGAAGTTAAAAGCATCAATCTGGTGCACTTTGAGAGCAACATGAGGAGATCTATGGATACATCTCTCAACACCCATATGAAACAGAACTGTAAGCAGATTTTCTTTTTCTTTATGGATATTTTACAAATCACTCCCCTTTCAAACTGTATTCCTGTTTATTAATAACAACTTTTTTTTACTGTCATAGTATTTTATACCTGTTTACTTTATTCTCTTATTTTTTTATAACTATAATGATCATATAAAGATGTGCTTTTACCTCAGTGGTTGTAGAAAAAGCTTCTTATATTCGTTAGCATAGCTAGCTAACCAGATGCTAATAACAACAAAGTTATTGACTGTATGATCAGTATGACAGATGAACAGATCGCCACTGGGCTTTCAACTAAAGACACAGCCACGCAGAAACTGCGGCATGTGTACGGCTCCTTATGGGTACTGCAATTGTCAGAACTGCACCCCTGTCAGACGAGACATATACCACGTGATGACACGTTAGGCTCGTGCTGTGTTCAAGGACCATGACCTTGGCCAGGAAAAACAGGCACTCGCTTGTTTAATTTTTTTGCGGTCTAGATTTCTTTAATTTTTTTCTTTTTTGCGTGTGTTTATAAATTACCTTGAGGGCCGTACCAAAAGGTCTTGCGGTCCGTATACGGCCCGGAGGCCGGAGGTTCCCCACCCCTGAGTTAGACCATTATGGGGCCGTGAAAGATTTGTGTCAGCAAGTAAGTCCATCAGCTCATGAGAAAATATAAGAGATATCCAGAAATCCACAGTTTCTTTGCCCCAGTCTAACAAGGTGCCACATTAACATCATGAATTCAGTTAACAAACTAACCAACTGAGGGAAGTGACACACGGGGGGGCAATCATTTCTAATTGCATTTGATGATAAGAGAGTTAATATAAGTTGATATGGCCACAGCTTTGAAAGATACTTCAGTCTCTCCAGTTGAATCAGTCCAAATGAAAATAAAGAATAATTGTGTTTCCTCCCCTCCCTCAGTGCTCCCAGCTCCTGGACGAGGTCATGAGGGAGGAGTACTTTGAGGAGCTGAAGGAGGAGTACGAGGATATCAGACAGGAGCACTACGACTCCCTGAAGGTGAGAATGGATGGTAGAAACACAAGCACACACTAGAGTACATTTGATACCTCTAGGTCCAATGACCCACACAGAGAACCATCTTTGATGCTAGCATTGTATCTAGTAGCTTGAACCTTAACAACATCCAAACACTGAGACAGACACACTTCTGAAAGCCTCTAGTGTGGAACTGGCAGTCTGAGAATCTCTCTTTTTCTTTTTTTTCTGAGAATCTCTCATTTTCTAAATCTATAAAAGCGTTTCAATTAATATTGGGAGTCATATCGTTACTTTGTTGAGAATGTGGCCATGTAATAAGCGTGTTCAAGATCCCTACGCTTCGCGTCAGGCTCCTGAACAGCCTGTCGGGTGTTCTTTTCCCCATAATGACCGCCTCGCTGCACATTATCCCTTACTTAGCACAGCTGTGTATCCAATCCTTCTTATACTGTCTCCCATTCACATCCTTTGGCAGTCCTTCTATCTTAGTCTTATATGAGCTGATAATAATGATATCAATACTTTTTTACAGTTCAGTGGATGTGTGTTTGCACATGCATGTAATATTGACCATATTAAGTTCACTTGTAATGTGTGATATAAATCAAATGTAATCCCTCTCTGTGTGTCCTCAGGCCCGTCGGTACCTGTCTCTCTCTCAGGCCAGAGACAAGGCTCTGCATATAGACTGGCTCTCTGCGCCCACACCAGGTCAGTCAGCCACATCACTTTATTACAATGTTATCAAAGCAAAACCTTTGTGTACATTTAACATTTTTATTGAGGATTTCAAATGAATCTGTTGTCATATCTTATGACGTCACACCACTAAACAATTCACAACATCATTAAAATGCTTTGAAATGTTGTGTCATTGAATACAGCCCTATCTTCAGTGTAGTGTTAGAAGGAGCAGATACAGAAGACATACTGTATGTAATACTTTGTTCATGCCTGCATGGACCGCTCTCTGTCCCGTGTCTCAGTGCATCCTCACTTCCTGGGTACTCGTGTGTTTGACCGTTACGACCTGAACAGTCTGGAGGAGTTCATCGACTGGAAGCCTTTCTTTGACGTGTGGCAGCTGAGGGGAAAGTACCCCAACAGAGGTTACCCCAAGATCTTCAAGGACAAGACTGTTGGTATGAGCTCCACCTCTGTTATCATCAATCACTCCACAGACATCTCTCCTGCGACACCACATGCTGCTTACATGTTGATAAATGCCCTTATACTGTATATTTGACTTTTTTAACAGATCTCGACACTCTGTATAATGGCACGAAGAAAACTTCATTTCTTCTTTTCATAAGACTTTCAAGGAGTGTTTACAATGCATTACAATCTGCTTATAGCACTGTTTAATAATATGACATTACATTGTAATGTTTAATAAAGCTTTATTAATTTGTGTTAGTTCTTGTAACTCTAATTAAACAATGCTTTAAGCAGATTATTTTATACATGTGTGTCATAGAAAGTGTTACTGATAATTGAATACGGTCGTTCGTCCTGTTTTCTTTTAGATAATTGTTACAAACTAATTAGCCTGTTAAGCCCTGGAGCCTCCCCACAGGGGGGCCCACCAACGTTTGTTTTCGAGACTGTGTCTCAGGGCTTCTTAACATTTATGAAACTATTAATGTGTAGCACCAGATTAACGGGAAGAACCTCAGCTAACTGAAGATATGAACCATTTTTACCAAAACAAAACACAAGTCTCATAAGAAGCGTCTAAATGACCCCTGAGCGAAAAAATGCAAACTGACTTTGGCACAGAACTCAAGATAAAGATACCCTTATTACTTATCGTAGCTGCACATACAAGATATCCGATTAAAGCTCAGACTCCACAGATTATATAGTTATAGTATCATCACTGAGCGATCCGAACTCGCGACAGGGGAAGCAAACACAGACATCACAACACGTACCTTTACGGAGCTTTTACGGGAGATCGTCTCACCGTAGCTGTCAATCTGATCAAAAGACGTGTTCAATGGCATTAAAACGAGAAAAAACGTGGCTTTGAAAAAATTATTTATAATCCATAATTCCATTTTTATGTAAAAATCGGAAAAAAGGTTAGCTGCTAATGGTAGCCACCAGAGTGTATGCAGCTTCCGGTTTTGGCTATGCGTCACTCTCACTCCTTATTTGGTAACGTGTTTGTGTGTGTAGAACTTTCCCTCGATTCCATTGGCTCTAGCGGTTATAAAGAGATTTCATTCGTCAAAATCGACCAAGGGGATATGGAAAGATATGGAAAATCCACCCAAATGACCCCAGAAGTGGTTTCTTTTTGCTAAATCTCTCTAAAAAGGTCAAATGTCACTTGTTTTGCATCAATCTTGATACAGGGTACTTATTATATGTTGTACTTTGGATTCCTAAAGCTTTTAGTCTACTAACCCATCATCCAAGGGTAGTTTTCACTATAAGTAAAAAAGAATTTTTGGACGGACACTATCATTTACAGTTTTTTACTATGTTCAATCTGAATTCTCTTTAAAATAAAAAACATCTATATTGATTCTGACTTTTCTACATCCAACTCACAGGTTTATCATTACTTTGAGAAAAAAGATTATTAATTTAACCCTTTTAGAAGGGAAGATATGGTCATTTGTTCTGGGAATGTCATTTTCGAGCCTGAGACCTGAAAAACAGGCTCAGGGTGGAACAGGTTAAAGTATCATGTTGAAATTATTATATTATCTATCATACTAATATTGTATGTATTATATTTAAACATTCATGTTATTCACAAAAAGTTAGATGAATATCTCCCCATGGATTAAAACTATACAATGGATGTTATTGTTACATGTTGTTGTAAACTACGGTAAGCTAGGCTGATTGAGGGAAACATTTGATATATATAATATAAGTATCTCATAAATATGTATATAATGTGCTGCATAGCTTTGTGACTTCAAGGCAGTTACTGGAGAATAGTGCAGTGAAATCTTCAGTGCCAACATTGAAAGCTACAATAACTTTACAACTAAAGAACACATAGGCGCTGGCAGCAGTGATTCAGTGGGATGTCTCCCAGCCTGGTTGTCACGGAGATGATACCATGTCTGAGCAGTGTTGTCTTCCTGCAGGTTCTGAAGCGCGGCGAGTCTTCGATGAGGCCCAGCGGCTGCTCCACCAGATGATTGACAGTGGCAGTCTGAAAGGGCGGGGCCTGGTGGGGTTCTGGCCCGCCCAGGGTGACGGTGATGACATCAGAGTGTACCGAGAGGACGCCCCGGCAACCAGAGGCGCCCAGCCCATCGCCACCTTCCACGGCCTGAGGCAGCAGGTGAGTTTAAGAAACAGTGGAGGACTATTTCAGTTCAGCGTCTGCCTTACAAACGTACACGAAGATTTCTCCCTTGATCAGCCATGACTAACCAGCTTCAGATATAACTATGTGCTGATCAAATTTACATGCATGAAAATCTATTAAAAAATGTATTCTTTTATAATTCAGCAGTGAACGGCACAAGCTCTCCCCCTCCTCTGGTTGTATGTGTAGGGCAGCATATAATATAATATATTACACACATCTTTACATTCTTGTAAATAGACACTGATTAATAAATAGTTGCGCATAAATAAATGGACAAATGAAAAAATTGTTGAATTGTAATTTTCCATTAAAGAAAAGCTTTAAACATGTTTGTGTATTTTATAGTTATTAGAAAGAAAGACAATTGGGAGCGGCATGTCAGACATAAAATGGGAATGAGATACAAAATATTGCATGGTTATAACTATATAATTGAACATATCTGACCTCTGTAGTACTTAACTTTCTGAGAACAGAAGGCATAAACAAAGCATTATGCTGCGTCACCATGGGGAGGCATTAACCAGCTGATGGGTGGTGCCTGCATGCTTGTCAGGTGTAGTATTCAGGATTGAAATGTTTTGTTCTTCTTCAGTTTCTGATTGTGACCTTGAAAATGCAGCCAAAAATAAAGGGTAACTAATTTCCACAGTAGTAATTTAGTGTGCGTGTGTTTCTTTGTGTGCAGTTGGAGAAGGACAGCTCTAGCTCCGAGCCCTACCTGTGTGTGTCTGACTTCGTTGCCCCCCTGGACAGCAGTGTGTCGGACTACATTGGTGTGTTTGCTGTGGGGGTGTTTGGAGCTGAGGAGCTGAGTCAGCACTTCCAGGCTCAGGGAGATGACTACAGCAGCATCATGGTCAAAGCGCTGGCCGACCGCCTGGCTGAGGTACGTCAAGTGTTGCTTTGGTTAACGAGTCCCTGCTGCTGCCTCTGTGTGTTCTGGTTCCTGCTAACCCTGTCCCCCCCCAGGCCTTCGCTGAAGAGCTCCACGCTCGTGTGCGTAAGGAGCTGTGGGGCTACAGCACCGACGAGGGTCTGCAGGCCTCAGACCTCCACAGAATCCGGTACCAGGGCATCAGACCTGCAGCTGGATACCCCAGCCAGCCGGACCACACAGAGAAGACCACCATGTGGAGCCTGGCCGGGGTCCAGGAGAAGACCGGTGAGAGCGCTGAGCATTTCACTGTCTTACTGCTGCTGATGGGCTGCTAATGCTGTCCTGTTGTTTCAGAGGAGATGCACGTCCAAGGTTTTCTTAGCCTTTCAATAGTTAAATGAAATGTATTTTCTCCTCTCAGCCTGTTCACTTGTACTCATGTAGTCAGGCTACATGTAAGCACACATGTATATGCACTGTAGTAACCTGGTTACTTTTAAGTAGGGGTTTACTGATTTAGATTTGAGTTCGGAAAAAAGCAATCATAATTAGCTTTCAATTTCTACCTTTCATTAAAAAACAGGATCGGCCATTCTCCATTTCTTTTCTTTCTTTATCAGTGGCTCTTGTCTTTTATTGAAAATAAAACACTGACCTGCTGTTATCCTATTTCCTGCGTCTGTGTTCAACTTGAGCTTTTGTGGATTTGTGTGTTTTTAATCATGTGGCTATATGTTTTCTTGCCTGTATCTAATACAGTAACTCTGTGTGTTTTGTTTGTGTGTGTGCAGGTATTTGTCTGACAGAGTCCCTGGCCATGCTGCCTGCTGCCTCCGTGTCTGGACTTTACTTCTCCAACCCTCAGGCCACATACTTTGCTGTGGGGAAGATCACCAAGGAGCAGGTTAGACTGCCCATCCACATCTTGACCTCATATAGTCACTTTATAACATTTGAATGAGACCCCTTTCAGAAAGTTGGATGAACCCTGATAGACCTGCATCACAACTGGATAGCGGTCATCTTACTATTTATTAGCAGAACTACGGAAATGAATCACAGACTAATTAAAACAAATGAAATGCAATAGAAGCAAGGAGGACAGACCAAAAAGATAACAATTAGATCAAAAGCTCACTAGAGATCTCAAAAAACACAAATGGATAACTACTTCCTGTAAAAGAGGTAATTGACACTAGCTAAACATAAGGATACCAGCCACCAGGGAGGAAGAATGCATTGACCGGGGGAAGAGAATTATAGAGAAGAGGTTTGTTTCTGATTGAGCCGTTTCTGGGAGACACCAACGGCTTTATTCTACCTTCACATACACAGTATTACCCCCATAAATCAGGCCTTTATTTCCCTCCAGATGGAACCGTGTGAATTATGATAAATACCCTTGTGTGACTTCAAATCCCAAGAAATAAGTGAGCTTATCAGGTCACTGAATCGTGAGCTGGTTAAGTTGCATTGTGGGTAAAGTCGATGCCAGGTTTTAACAAGGAAGAAGAATGCGTGGGCAAAAAAAAGATAATATTATCTCTGGTTCTGCTTTATCCATTCCTTTATGGCCTAACAATGTTATAGCAATGCTAAATCACTCGAGTCATATTTAAAGTAACTGTTGAGACTCACTTTATAAATATAAAAAAACAATAGAAGGATCCTAACTGGGATTTTATAACTAATATTTTGATGAAGGATTTGTAACAGAGGGGAATCTAAACACCTCACTTATGTTTCAGAACCGGGTTTATTGCCAAGTAAGTTTACACAAAAATGAGTGTGTAAAGAAAGCATTTAAAAAAACAAATAAAAAAAAACAAAACAAGAAAAGTAAATTGACAAGTAATATAAATATACAAAAAAGGGAACACAATAAGAATACGACAACTTACTCTGAAATAAGTGCAGTATAATAGAATTTAAATGGAAGAGCCGTGCAGTTTTTAAATAATGAGCATTAAGCAGAAATGTGAACATACACGGAGGAGTGTGGAAGGTTCACATTGTGAAAATGCTCTTTTGCAGGTGGAGGACTACGCCAGGAGGAAAGAGATGAGTGTGGAGGAGGTGGAGAGATGGCTGGCTCCAGTGCTGGGGTATGACAGTGAGGCGTAGAGAGAGAGCACTGCAGTAAACTGGACCACTGAGGGATCAGAGCAGGGTGCAACACACACACACACACACACACACACACACACACACACACACACACACACACACACACTCACACACACACACATACACACACACACACACACACACACACACACACACACACACACACACACACAGACACACACACACACACACACACACACACACACACACACACACACACACACACACACACACACACACACACACACACACACACACACACACTAGTGAACTAGTTCAAATGTTTTAATGAAACAAGACTCAGGATCTGTTCTTACTTGAATTGGCAACAGTCAATATGTATTTCTTATTACAGTTCTAACCTTGGAGGTACTGAACAATTGATTTGCACTTAAAAGGTATTATGGTAACCAGTCCACATTATAATAAACCTGGCTGCCAATGTTAGAATCTTTATTTCAAACCAAATCAATTCAAACAAATTAATCACACTACAAACCCTGGACATCTGTGGTTAAATTTTTTTGGACTAATTTCAACTATTTTAAATGTGTATATGGAAGGGAAAGTTAGATGTTTACAAACAGATATATCTATTTATTTCAGTTCATTTAAAAACATTTTAAATCCTTATTTTAATGTTCTTTTGGAGTTTTTTTAAATCAACATTTGCATGGAGGATCTTATTAGATACACATGTTTTGTGGTTTTATGTTTATTACTCAAGTGCCAAAGTGGTCAAGTTTATATTAAATGGTACATTTAAAAAATAAAGGATTCTTGATAAAGTATAAAAAACATAATAATATATAAGAGGAGCCTTTCGAAAAGGTTGTCTTCTTGAAAAAATGACTATAAGTCAGAGGCTCAATGAATAAGTTTGTATTTTATTAAGATAAAGTCTAATTTGATTCATTTTCTAATGATGTCTTCCTTTGTTAATAACTCAGTTCTGTTGATAATTGTATCCACCAAAATTGTCGCAGTACATTTCAGCCTCCAGACATCTGAACTTACGACAAGCACCCAATGATTTCAAGCTTTTATCATACACTTATTTCCCAGTGAGACAGTATCCTGTGTAACTCGAGTAAGATTTAGTGTATTATTTGAATCTGGTTAGTTAATAACTGCTGATTGTCAATTCATAATGTCATTTCTGAGGGATTGTTAAAGCCTTGTCCAGGTTTTATGAATGCCTATCTTCCAAGTGTTACTGAGGTGATATATACTACACAAAGATCTGTAGGACACATTTTATTAAGAAGTATGCATATTCATCTATTTTGCAAGCATTAAATAACACATTTGATCGACACAGTGCTTTGAACAAATCAGTAGACAACTTAATAATACAAATGAAGTATTGTAGACGATTATTCAATGCAGGAAAAACCACTGTACCAGCATGTAGGGTTTAAACACTTTAACAAACTTGAATGTATATTTTTTCTGACTTCATAAGAAACAAAAAAACTGTTTGCTGCAAATGTATGGCTGTGATGAAAACACAAATAATAATTGTTTACAATCAAAGATATATTTTTATGTTTTTTCATCAAATGTAAAAGCATGATTTAAAAAAGAAAGAAAAAAGGATGCTTTAAACTCAATTGTTAAGACTAAACTCTCATCTTGAAAATATAAGATAATAACATTAGATAGATTATTGGTAATTACAGCGAAGGGTTAATTTAGTATGGGATAACCCTTGGATGCTTTTATCAAATGTTATTTAATTCCAGTTTTGCCAACAACAAATACAGCATTTCAGACTTTGAGGTATAGTTAGTTCTCTCACAACATCCACATACTGTTGACATGTTACCAGGTATTATCAGTGTTATACTGTTCATGGACTTTACAACATTCAATATACTCATTCCATGATCCGAAGAAGTCTCTGGATATACCATAATGTTGGGTTCAATTTGAAATGATGTTTATATTAGATGCTAGCTTAGTGCATTTCACATGTGTCTTAAAAGCCCTGATGTGCTGCAGTGGCTGATCTTAGTTTGAATGAAACTATTTTTTAATGAGTTTGATTTTCTTACATTGTTAACAAAAGTTGTTGATACATGATGATTGCATTGCAAACACTGTAAAACAGGAGCAATAGAACGGTGTGTTTTGTTGAGAATAAATCACTGCAACATTGTTTTGTCTTTCTCTGAGTTTAAATCTTTGGTGAGAAGGAAAAACATATATTTAAATAAATGTCATTTCTGGCCAAAAAAAGTGGATACATGTCTTTGGTGGAGCTTTCTGGTGGAGCTTTCTCAAGTGTGGCGCAGTGGATAGAGCGTTGGTGTTAGGATCAGAGGGGTCACAGGTTCAAACCCCACTGCAGTCAGCATGTCGTTGTGTCCCTGGGCAAGATACTTCACCCCAAATTGCTCCAGTGGGGATTGCCCACAGTATTGAGTATGTAAGTCGCTTTGGATAAAAAGCGTCTAACAAGTAACATGTAATGTAATACAGGAAAACAAATTTGGGGCAAGGACTTTGAAATAAGTTGGTATACCATACAGCAAGGGCCTAATAAAATCAATTTGGTGAATTATGGGAAGTGTAGGACAAAGGGGCTAAATCCCAATCTGACGCCTCCCACTCAGTGACAAATTGAAGTCTGTTTATAGTCAAACAGCTGAACGGCCACTTTTCTTTGTGCCAATGTAGATGTATAGTATACATACACTCATCTCTCAGGCACTAACGTCTTACCTTTTTTTTAAAGCATGGTCAAAAAGTATTGTATTGGCATCTCTTGGATTAAAAGTAAAACTCAAAAGCCAAACCCCCTGCAGTCAACATGTCGATGAGTTGTTGGGCAAGATGCAAAACCCCAAATAGCTCCTTCTACAGTATTGCACGGTATGTAAAATGCGATGAACGTGTTAGCTAAAGAACATGTAATAATCAGTGGCGTTTTCTCCCGGCCTGTTTTTTCAGACATTTATTATAATTGTCATCTTCTGCCTCGTTTAGTATGGTTGATTCTACTGTGTTGCAATCATAGACTGCAATATTTCCCCTTTTGTCAGAGTATTTTTACTTCCCTTGGTATGACCCGACCAATCAAATCACATCAGCGCCGTACTGACAACAACGCCGTTAGCAAGAAACAACTTTAGCAAGTGCAGTTATGAAGAGTAGAGATTTGGAGTTAGAGGGGGAAAAAAAACGTTTACTAAATGACCACTACAACAGCAAGTCATACATTAAATGGTGTGGCAGACCAACTCCCAGACTACTAGAGCTTCGTATGGAGAGGAAAAAGGAGGGATTCTGAATTTTAATGATGAAAAATGATGTTTGCACCGAGTAGCTAGCTGGTAATGCACAGCTTCAGCAGCTAATTTGCTAGCCAACATATATATTGACTCTAATGTTGGTGAGGACCTGAAGGCTGGAGGGAAATTCTACAACATGGTTATTCACCACTTCACCACTCCACCAATGGCCTTCCTATACAAATACTGTAGGGTGAGTGAAATACACTTTTCTCTCTGACACTACTGTTTACTGAACTGCCCATTAGCTATGTTTGTAGTTTATGATGTGGTTATGTTGCTTACTGTGTGCTGCTGGCCTTGATTTAGTTTAATGTGTTAGTCAGTTTAAGACTTTTTAACATCTGAGCTTGCACTATTATTATTATTATTATTATTATTTTTTAAATGTTTTGTTGTTGTAATTGCACTGTTGAGGAACCTGCGATCTAAGTGTTTCATACATGACATTACTGCACAGTAGTTGTGTATATGATATGACAATAAACCTTTCAATTTCTAATCTTGAATTGAAAGTTGTTTACACACTACTACAAACTTGTTAACATTATTGGTAATATTGTTTTAAGGCAGCTGGGTGAGTTACAATTCAGATATTGAGCATTATAAAACTAAGGCATTCTTGAACAGTGATACAAAATCAATAGAAATGTACTAGATACATTTTAAAGAGACACCTTTTGGTATCTTTTGGCGTGTATTGAGCATATACAGTCTATTAGGGCATTGGTCTGAATCATAGACTGAATGCATTAATTTAGCCATTATCGGTCATGGCGGGAAAGAGCTTCCATACATAACCGGCAAAGAGATGGCAAACTGCTCGCGCGCACACACTCGCTCATACCTGTGCAGCTCCTCCTTCGGTGAGCGCTCACCATCCAATGAGAGGCGAGTTTTCCTGCGCGTGGGCTTCTGCATACACCGCCGCACGCGCACACCCAGCCTGTTGTCCGCACGCAGATACAGCACGAGCATCTCCGTTCGAAAGCTAACTATGGCCGAAGGAGGAGAAGGCGAGGACGAAATCCAGTTCCTGCGAACTGTAAGTCCTTTTTCTGTTTCTCTGAAGCCGAGAGCCGGCGCTGTGTCTGCTGTCACTGCGTCTTTCTGCTGGCCGTGTGTGTATGCGTGTGTGTGTGAGGGTAGGGAGTTTACCGCATTAAGGATGACAGCTCCTCCAGATACTAGTCATTGGTCAGTGAGTCCACATCATGCTGACCGCAGACTAAACGGTGGCATAGGAATGAAAACACTGACTGACAGTTAGAAAGACAGGAGATGAAGAGAGATGGACGAAGGTGTTTTGCTGTCATTGTCTCAGAAAGAGGAGTTGAGCAGCATGTGTGTAGTGGCTGGTGTATGTGTGTGTTGGGTGGGAGCGGGGCGCAGTGCGGTGCAGTATGGCAGCATGAAGTCTGATGCATCTGCTTCACTTCCATCACCTTCTACATTGAAGCAATACCTCAAAACACTGCGTCTGTATGTGTGTATATTTATTGTTTGTCTCATTATGAAGTAAAAGCTTGAACAGGTCATGGTCAGGAACGTGAATAATCAAACGGGAATCCACTGCACCTGACTATTTCCCTTTTTGATGGAAGTGGGCAGGAACATAAGTATAGAAATACAAGTCTCGATATGTATGTTAGTTAGACATTTCAAACTAAAGCCTTATTTGTAGTCTTTTTGTGTCAGTGAGATGATTCCATTGTTGCCAGTGCAGTTTCCAGCGTCAGTATCATGAAAGCAAAAGGAAGCTTTCTGCAATGCTATAAAAATGCCATCTCTTGATCAGAGAAATGAAACATGACACT